TAAAGGTTGCGCTTGAACAACTTCTTTCACCAACAAATCCTGCCAGATCTTTAGCTTTTATGCAATAGCGGCCAAGCGGGCCGCACGAAGAGGCCGCCGCCACCGCTGAGGGCGGCAAGGCCTCCCGCGCTCTCCCTTCCCGGCCTTTCCCCTGCCTTCCCTTCCCGGCCCATCCCCGCCACCCTGCGGGCGGCTCCGGGGCTGGCGGGCCACGGCTGCCCCCGGCGGGGAGGAAAAGGAGCGGGGGAGAAACTGGGCTGGAATAAAGGCTGTTCCGCCTGCCCCTGGGCAGCGCGGGGGTGCCCAAGTTCCCCCAGGTTGGTGTTTTGCCCGGTTTGCTTCGTCTCTTCCCCGACTGCTCCCGCACGGACCCTTCCCAGCACTAATACTCCTGTCCATGATCCTGTCCCGTGCCAGGAACGGCAGCAGGCTCAGACAATCGGGAGCAGGAGAAAGGAGCAGTCATGTCGCTCCTCAGGCTGAACAGCTTAGAAGAATAAAAAAGAAAAAAAAAAAAAAAAAAGTATGTGCATATCTACCTATATATATGCACTGCATACAACACATGTCTTCCAGCATTGCACTGTTTGTAGTTCGGAGTTCATTTTGAGTGCCATTGCGCAAAAGCTTCAGAGGTTAAAATTAACGAATGTTGTGTCTGCCAGCAGAGGGAGCCAGTTTTATTCCATAAGCATAGGGGGAAAGCATTTTTGAGCAGGAACATTCCTGGTCTTTTTACATTTATCAAGTCAGAAAAGAATAAAATATAATAATTTTTCCATACCATCTGTATAGCATGATCTTGAAGGTCTCTGTGACCCATTTAGCCTCATCATTTGAATTTCAGATGACAGTAGGAATAAATTTTGAAAGCCAAGTCTTGTGGCATCATATACATTTCTTTCCCTTTTAAAAAGAATTAATTTCTTCATTTATTCAATTATTTTAGACAGTAGTGAACAACTGTGCTAATCATTTTTGATAGACAGCATATACAAAACAAGAACTCAGAGCAGCTTACTTTATCACATTTAAAGTTGTCATTATGCTCATAGCGGGTCTGCTCTTGGTCCAGGATGATGACGGAAAATCGGTCATTCTTTATTATTTATGAACGTCTTTCGATTTTTAAATTATACTTTAATTACACACGGGTCAGAATGCCTTGAGTAAGAATCAAATATGCCTCCTTTCATGCCACCTGACCAAAAAAAGGCCTTCTCCAAGTGCCAATTTACAATACAACTGAGTTAATGAAAATTGTTTTCATGCAGAAGCAAATAATAATACTGAATAGCAAACTGAATCACTTTTTAATGTGTATATATATATATGTGCGCATATGCATCTGTGCATATACATATATGTATATATATATATACATACATATAAAAACCCCAAGTATTCCTTAAATTTCCAAAGGAAATGTTAAGGAAAATTTCAGTCATTATTTTGAGGAATTCTTAGTTTTAAATGTTCTTTCATTAGTCTGGATTTTGAGGAAAGGATCTTAAAAATATGGAAGAAAATTGTGGCAAAAAATAAGGAAGTTCCTATGTCACTTGCAGTTTATAGTTGTAAACTCCACCACATCCAGCAGTGGTGTAGGGATTGTTACAGACAGCAGAGCTTGGGCATTATTGCCAATAAGATTTCTAACATATAGGACTGAATACAGCATTGGCTTTTCCTCAAACATTATATCTACCACTACTGCAAGACTGGCAAATTTTAGTTAAAACACATTAAGGGATCTGATTAGTTCTGTAATCTGTAAGTACAGATAAACCCCAGTCTGCTGAGGCTACATTCCTAAGAGGTGCAGCTGTAAGCAGTTTAATCAAAAATAAAGCAATTTTCCCTGTAATAATTTATATAGCAGAGAAGGAAAATGTGCAGTAGCTTAGGAAGTACATGTAACCTATATGTTACAAAAAGGAAAAGCATTCATAGTGGAAGGATAGGGAGCCTGGAGCTCCCCATGGGAGCCATGGGATCACCAGTACTGCCAGCCTGACAAGCCTGACCTTCTAGAAGCTAACTTTTCTGAGTAGATTTCCCTTCTGAAAGATCTCAGGTGCTTCATCTCTGAGGCCAACCACCCAGCACAGTAAAAAGTGTGTAAGCATTTTTTGAAATAGTTACATTTTCCTTGCTCTCATCATCTTCCTCAGATGAATCAATGTCAGTCAAGTAAGTCAAGAGTAAAGAACACAACAAAAGGAAAACAGTGGTTAGCAGAGCACAGTGCTAAATGACTGATGGCAGAGTTCCAAACTGAAGAGCTGGAAAGTGACAGATTAAGGGGTGTTACTGTATTAGTTATCTGGAGTCACTGAATAGATATTTATGCATCATAAACCCATTTGAAAGTGAAATTAAAGTTTAGTCTAAAGGGAATGGTGTAAATTTAGCATCTTAAAAAAAAAAAAACTGTATCAAGATGAAATGCTCTGTGGAATGGAATATTATCCATTCAGATTTTAAGAAAAAGGACACTAATCAACTAATGAAGTCTTATATATTCCTTATACAAGATCCAGGCTTTATTTCTTATACTTTCACAGATATTTATTCCCATCTGTTTCATCCTTTTCCTCTTTTTTTCCCCCATTTTTTTATTCTCAGTGGAAATTATGCCACCTTTTCTCTGCTTTTATTTTCTGCCCTGAATGCTTAGCTTTGACTCTGAATTTGTCTCAGCTGCAGGCAGCTTAATTATTTCTTCAAATCTTTTTCTTGCCGTAGACCAAAAATGTCCCTGGCTGCCACTTTTCACTACATATGGTGAAAATATACAGGATAAATAAAACCAGTGTAAGCAAATTTGCAAGTTTTCTTAGATTTATGAACTTACACAAGAAAAGGGACAATGGGGGTTTTATATAGCACCTAAGATAATGTGGTCCCATTCTTCTGACAACATAAAAGTATTACTGTGCTTTCAACTGGAACTGTTTGGTCATGATTGTGTTCTTGCTTAAGAGCTCCAAATAAAAAATGAAGGTCAGATTCTGAGTGTTAGAACTTGTGTGGGATACTGCCAGATGTCTCAAAAAAACTACCCAAAACTAATAGATTAACAATATCTACAGAGCCAAGGCCTTTTCTGCTTTTGGTACTGCCACACTGCAGAGCAGACTGGGGCTGTATGGGGGACTGGGAGCAGACACAGCCAGGACAGGTGACCCCAATTGCTCAGTATGTACAGGGGGGATGTTTGGAGTGATGGCTTTGTCCTCCCGAGTCACTGTTACATGTGATGGGGCCCTGCTCTCCTGGGGATGGCTGAACACCTGCCTGCCCATGGGCAGCACTGAATTCATTCTTTCTTTGGCTTTGTTTGTGTGTGTGGCTTTTGCTTTCCCTGTTAAACTGTCCTTATCTCAACCTCATTAGTTTTCTGGTTTTTACCCCCTGTATATCTGTATATAGACAGATTTGTCCCCAGTCCTGCTGGTGGAGGACTGAGCGAGTGGCTGGATGGGGCTTGGCTGCTGCCTGGGGTAAAACCACCACAATTTCCAACAGAAAGCTCTAAGAGATGGATATCACACATTAGACCTGTCTGGCATGTGGATGCAGAATAGAAAAGCTGTGGCAGCACAGCACTGCAGCAGCATAGCACCAATTAAATAGATTTTATACATTTTATTATGAAAAGCAACATGCTGGAACACTGTGTGCAATGGAAGGGTGAGCCATATTTTACTTGTGCTTAGCCTGTGGAACAGACAGCATGACTAAGTTTTAAAAAGCTCACAATTTTTTAGTTATTTTGGGGGAGGGCTTTTGCAACACGCGTTGGTTCACACTGTGTAAAACACATCATCACTTCATCAGGCAACCTCAGTGCTATTCTTCGACTGCTGGGAGGTCTTGACATCGGGTAAGGAACCAAAGGGCAGGTGACAAGAAAAAAACGACCTGAGATGACCAAAAGCTGACCCTTGGAAACCGGTTTAAGGGTTCACTGTTGGAATCCAGTTAGCATTATTTGCGAGGAGGACAGAAATAATTTATCATAAATAAAAAAAAAACTGGAATTAAATTCTCAACGCACAGAGCATTTATCAAGGGATTCATGGGGACGACTTTTGGACCTCAGCATGCCGATGTGGCTGAGAAATGCGATGGCGGATGTGGAAGCCTGGCCTGGAGGGAGCAGTAACGCGAGGCAGCAGCCGGGCCAGCGGGACTGCGGAGCGTCTCCCAATGCATTTATGAAATGACGAGGAAACAAGAGCACCGCTGGGCAGCAGGCCGCTCATCCCAGACACGCTGCACTGAGCGCAGCCATGGCTGCCCAAGGAGAGAACGCTCAGCCCCACGCACTCCCCGCAGCACCGCAGGGAAGGGAAGGGTGGTTCCGGGGAAAACCCCGCGGCAGCGCGGCCCCTCCTGCCCGGCCGAACGGGGAGCGCTCGGGCCCGGGGCAGGCGGGCCCCGCCGGCACCGCGGGCCGGGCGGCGGCAGCGCGCGTGCGCCGGGAGGCTGCGGGCGGGCCGGGCCCGCGGCGGCGCTGACGGACGCGGTGAGCCCGCCCCGGCCCGGCCCGGCCCCCTCCCGCCATCCCCGGGGAATGGACGGATGGGTGCGAGACTAGGTAGGTGAGTCGGTGGGTATCCGTCCTCAGCGCGGAGGGGAGCGCCACCGCCCGGGCCGAGCTGGCGGCGGGGCCGGGCCGAGCTGGGCTGGGCGGGCTGGTGTCCCCGCTGAAGGCACCCCGCTGGGGGCTCGGCCGTCGCGTTCGGGCCTCAGCCCCAGGGGTACCTCGGGGGAGGTGCGGAGCCCCCCCGATCCCCTTTCTGCAGTGCCCAGGCTGTGTCACACGGGGGCCAGGGGCGCCTCCCGCGCTTACGCCTTGCTATAGCTCCTGCCGTGGCCATCGCCCTTGGGGGACTCGGCTTGCCTGGCTTTAGGCACGGATTTTTTGGAAGAGGTCATCAGGATGATGCGAGGCTCTTCTCCGTTGTGCCGAGCAATAGAACAAGAGGCCTCGGGCAGAACATGATGCCCAGGAAGTTTCACCTGAACAGAGAAAGAGCTTCTTTACTGTGCAGTGACAGCCCCGGAACAGATTGTCCAGAGACAGTGTGGAGTCTCCCTCAGTGCAGAGACTCGGCAACTGTCTGGACACGATCCTGTGCTATGTGTTCTAGGATGACCCTGCTTGAGCAAGGACATTGGAACACCACCCTAACAATAAGGTTGTGGTTTGATCCCCGTTATTGGCCACTCACTGAAGTGTTGCACTCATTGTCCTTGTGGTTCCTTTCCAACACAGAAGATTCTGTGATTCTTTGCCGCACTGTGGTTCTTTCCAATTTCACCCATGCTGTGATTCTGTGATGTCCATCATGAGCCGCTATCAAAAGTAGCTGCTTTTGCAGAGCTTTTCTTTTTATTCATGAACATTATTCTTGCATAACAATAATTCAAATAAAAACATTTGCATCAACCCAGACAAACATTTTTTTCATGTTCTGGCTGGGACTTTTGTGGGTCCCACACCCCAAGACCCTGTTAATGCAGGTGACTGTGTTGTCTAAAATAATTCAGGATTATGCTTCAGGAGCCAAACTGTTTCTGGCACTCCAGAATCACTGAAACATGAAAATCCTTCACCAGCAGATAAACTGTAGTAGATTATTATATTTTAACAGTCATGCATATCTTGCATATTTCTCTTTAGAATGCTTTTAAGTAAGTCAAGAGTAAGGAAATTGAAAGAATGGAGTAAGAGTAAGGAAATGGAAAGAAAATTAGTCCTATGTTGTGGGTTTTTTATTTCATGAGTAGGAATGGCATTGCACGTGGAAGTGTCTCATACCTTGTAAGCAAACAGTTGTGCAGTAAGTCCTTCCAGAGGGTCCTAGTATAATTATTTTTACGGGTGCTTGGTAGTGTTTTTCTGAGCAGTTTAAGCACTCTTTCTGTGGACTTTTACAGTGAGCAGTGCCCACACTCATCTGTCACCTTTTGTTCCTCTCTGTACTGCCACAGCTGTTTTTGTCTGGTACATTGAACCTGATTGGGGATTGATCTATCTGAAAAAGTCCTCTCTGAATAGAAGGGTGTCTTTCCATCTGCTTAAGCTGTGTGGTGAAGTTCATGTTAAAATATCTGCAGTGAGCAGTTAGGAGGGGACAGAGCAGGGACTTGGGAAGGGGGAAGAAGCAGCTGGCTGGTCTCTGTGGTGTCATAAGCCGCTCTCGTGTCAAATGTGAAACTCAGCCTTAGTTCTAGAGGTTGTGTATGACACACACATACTCCCCCCCTGTTTGTTTTTTCTCATTTCCCTGAAACTGATTTCCTAACTAAGGAATGCATACTTTATATATATATATATATATATATATATATATGTGAATGTATATTATGGGAAACATGACATTTGGATTGAAACAATGAGACACAATGACATTTTATCTAAAGTATTTCTATATGATAGAAGTGTAGATTATGGCTTTTTTTATAGAGGTAGGAAATGTGTTCCAAGGTGCCATTGAGGTGCTGGTTGCAGCAACTGTGCACTGCTGCACCACTCACTTCCCTGTTTATTCACTGGCCTTGTGGAAGATGAGCAGCTGCAGTAATTGCTGCTCTGCTTGCACACTCTGGTATAACAGCAGTCAGTTGTGGCTTGAGAGAAGGCATCTTGAAATGGCTGTTCATTGCTTCTTTTTTCTCCTTAGGTAACTCTAGAAGCTATGGATATACTCTTCAGAATCAGAGGAGGCTTGGATCTTGCATTTCAGCTTGCAACGACTGACGGTGTGTCTATAAGACTGATATCTTATACTTACATTAACTTTTATTAAGAAACTATTATATTTATTTTCTTGGCATTTTACCAGGTGTTGTGTTCTTCACAAACCTGTAAAGATTACTCTTTATCTCTATAAATTTTCTGACACTCTTTTTCCAACCTGTGTTTTTTGTTTTAATTTGAAATAAATTTTACATTGACATTTTTCATAATTTCATTTGCATATACTTTTTACTTGTGCATATGTTATTAGGATCACTTTTCATCTTGAAGCTGAAGTTGACTCTGAAATTCCGAGCAAACAGAATAACTTTAAGACAATGAATTTTGTTATAATTGGACTGTATTAGTAATACAACTTTGAAACTGTGGTCCAGTCTTTCTGGAGAAATAGAGAAGGGGAACAAGTTAACAAGTCACTCTACTGAATTTAGGCAGGATTGGCTACTGCAGTTCCATGTGATAGCAAGGGACTGGTCCATAAAGCATGAAGGGGCTCCTGTAGTGCCCCATTGTCACAGTAAAGTGCCATTCTGCTCAGGAGGCCTGCTCAGGGCTCTCAGGGGACATTGAGGTGTCACAGGGCAGGATGGGGAAGGAGGCTGTTTTTAGCTCAGCTCTCAGTCATTCTGCATTTTAAAAGGATGTGTCTCTAGCTGAAACAATGAATGCCGTCTAGTGAACCTTGATAAGGAACTTGGGCTTATTTGAGTTCGTGATGTGGAGCAGAAGTGTTGAATAGATTGACCTAATCCAAAACAGCATTTTGTGAGTTGCATCCTCAGAGAAGGGTTATTTATTTGACTTAGTCTATGGTGGAGTGAATTGTAACCACAGTGAAGCAGAGTGGTGGTTGAATTGTCCAAGTGCATGGTATTCACACCTATTAGTGGATAAATATTGTACCTTGTTCCCTTTGAAGGGCACTGAGCTTTTTCTTTTGGAGCAGTTTTTCTGTGACTTTTCTAATAATGTAGTTTTTACAGATTTCTAGTACAAAAGTTATATAATTGTGACTAAATTTAAGTTAATGCATCAGAGAGATACAGCATAGTCTTTGATAACTTGTTAGTACTGTATTCAAAGTAATGTTTTGTAACCCTCACAGTAAGGAAAAAAATGTGGCTAATGTGCCAAAGTTACTTTATTGTATCCAACAGTGTCATGTCCATTGAAGGTTCAGGCTGTAATTGTGAGTTAAACACGCTACAAGCTCTGAAAGACAACTGTACATACCAGTAATAAAGCTTCAAGCAAACCAGACTGTGGCGCACAGGTTTATGTTGGCCAGAATTTGGTCCTCAGCTGGAATGTAGGCCCTGCTTTTCCAAAGATTAGTCTGGGTTTGGATGGTATTTCTGGACAATGATATGAGGTCAGAAACATGTGAGCGACTCAGATTGAATATTTTCAGGATTTTTTTCAAAATTCTAAATATACCTAGAAATTTGTACATGGAAGTTTGTTTGCAGCCATAGGCTTGGTTAAGACTTATTAGATGTGGTGACAGCAGAGTAGAATATTCTTCTGTAAGTTTGATAGTATCTGAGAGAAACAGTACACTTTTGCTCAGGGAGGTGTGTGAATGTTTGAGACAGACCTACTAAGTGAAATCTTACCTCAGTTTTGTTTACCCAGTCATTTTTCTGATCACAACAGCAATTGCATTTTTATTCCAAGTCAAAAAAAAATTATTAAATGTGTGTCCAGCAGCTATTAAAAAACTGAGAGAATTTTTCAAGCTAATTATATCCTTAATGTGTTTCAGAGGCATCAACAAAAAAGGCATTAGGATATGTTTTCAGTGATCTTGAAAACAAGCTGTCCTCCGAGGTTCTTGTATTCAGAATTTGCCACAGTTCAGTCTATGTGTGGCCTAACAATGGCATGAGCACAGTTCCAGAGCTGACTGATGAGTCTGCATGTAAGGAGATAAAAAGATTTATACAGTAAGTATGTTTAAAAACTGGGGGGGATGGTTAACAGATTAATTTCATCTTATAGAAATTTCTCTTTCTGTTGATAATTCAGATTTGATCAAGATGATGAGACCAAACGAAAGCTTGGCAAAAAAAAGGATAAAAAGTTACAGGATACGGTATGTTTCTAATATACAAGAAAAAATATCATTTAAACATTTTTAGGCTTGCCCTCCCTAGGCTTTTCTGTACACAAATTTGCATTGAAATGACTTTAAAGAGTGCTTTTAAAAGCATTGACACTCAACATGAATGCAGAAATCCACCCGTGGTAGGTTAGCACATGGAAGTTTGTCTTCAACATTACCAGCTTTTTCCTAACCCAAGTATTTAATTAATGAGTTTGATACCAAATATCTTCAATCTTAATTTTGCCTTCTTGGTTCATGTGCTTCTTGGTTCTTACTTTTGCCTTCTTGTACCTGGAGATGTAATATTGGTGTCTTTATTCTCTGCAGCAGCAGATAATCAATGTAGACCTCATGTTGGAAATGACATCTTCATTAGCTGCTCTGGCTCCAGTCATTGAAAGGGAAAAGAAGGAGCACCACTACATAAATATGACATTACCAGTTGATGTTGTTGTATCTGTTTCTCCAGAAGAGCCATGGGGAAAGTAAGTGTTATCCTGAGCTTGCAATTTTTTAGATTCATTTCTGCTTTTTCTTGAAATACTGAAGTAAAACTATATCATTCTTCAGTTTGATGAAAAGTATGTAGTATTTTTGTGATGTAATTTTAACTGTGTAATTAATAAAAGCTCATGTAGACAGCTGTTAACTTCAATAATCTTGAGACATGATCCTTTTGCTGTCTGTAAAAAATTCAGTTTATCAATGTCTGACAAATTTGATAACTCATAACCATTTCTTAGCAAAGAATTGAGAAAGTCAGGAAAATGTTCTTGAAATTTTTGTCTGTGAGGTGTATAAAAGTGAGAGTTGGGGTGTATTTGATGAGTCTTTGTAATCTCAGCCCTAAATTTGGGGGTGCAGCTGGGTAGGTACAGATGGAAAACATTTGAGTCTGCCTATGTATTTTTTCCTTGAATTTTTTCCATAGGATTTGACTCTAAACGACACTAAATGGTGTGGATTTGCAAAAAAAAAAAAAAAACCAAAACAATTAGTCATATGTTTAATTTTTATTTTGACAAATGCTCATACTGATTGTGTTTCTGATATGAGAGCAGGGTAGCCACATTTGGGAAGACTGAATCACTAGGGACTCACTTCTGTGTGCAGACAAGCTTTGAGTAAGGCACAGCTGGGCTCTGCCTTTTCCTGTGGGAGCAGAAGCATTGAAGTAGTGCAGCCATCTGACCAGGTCAGACGTGCATTTAGGTATTGTATAACTCACAGCTGTGAGAAAAAATCATTCACAATCACTGCTCTACTTTTGAAATATTCTCCCTTGTACTTTGCAGGGTACAAAATCTCCTAGTGAAAGCAATTCATGGGCAATTGACTGACATGGAAAGATGTATCATGAAATATGTGAAAGGAACATCAATTGTGGTACCAGAACAATTTCATTTCATGTTACCAGGAAAAAATCACCTCGTGACAGTCTCATATCCTACGGGTATTTCAGATGATCAGCTGGAAAGTTACAGAAAGGTAAAGCCAAAAAATAGTAACAGAAGTGGATCTTTTAATTACTGTAATTGAAGCAGTGGTAGGGCTTCCCATTTAGTCAATATAGAACAAATACTAGCAGATACTGCTGTATTTTAGATTCTTTTTTATTATAACCAAAGCAGTATACTGAATGTGGAAACTTGATTCATTAGAAGTTATTTTATAGAATGTACCAGATGTCATTTTTGTGAGGGAACAACAGAAACTTCAAAAGTACATAAAATTTGGTTGATAAATATTTTCTCTAAATTATACTTCCAGTAAAGTGTTATTTGAATTTCTCCCTTTTTTTTGTTCTCCTATGGTAGAACATTATTTTACTTTTGGTGTGGTACTACATGCAGCTTTTTACATATGTCCTGAAAGGCTTATTGGGGGTTTTGTTTGTTTTGGTTTCTTTCTTGGGGTTTTGTGGTGTTGTGGGGTGTTTGTCTGTTTGGAGGGGCTGCTTTTTGTAGCTCACAGTTGACCAGACTTAGCTTGTTTTTGCCTTTGGGTTGGCACCTCGAAAAAAGAATGTGGATGAGGTGGAAGAATGTTGAGATGTGTCAGTCCTTTCAGATTGAGACTGATACCAGTCTAGGTCCACACAATTGCATGTACTGAGAGCAGGGAAAGAATATTATGCAGCTTAGAGGTGTAGAAACTGGGGACTTTTTCTGTTTGTAGCATGACTGGGTATATAAAACCCAGTCTAGCCTTGTGTTTGCAGAGGCCTCAGGCACTGGTGGCACTGCCTGTGTTTCCTGCTCTCTCTCTGCAGTTCGCTCTAACCCACTGCTGGGAAGTGTTACTGCAGCTCCTCTAGCTGGGGTCAGTGCTGGGTCATCTGCCTAAAATGTATTACCTGTGTTACACACATTATCCTAGATGATCTCATCACGCCTTTCACTCTTAAGCTCTGTGAAATAAGACAATATATCTCTTCAAATGTGGCTGCTGTGTGGCAAACAGAGCTTAAGAGATTTTAAAATAAACTGAATCTGCTTGAACCATAAGCCCAATATCTTTACTTTGTGTCAGTACATGTTATTTGTGTGCTCCAATATCAGTTAAGATTATAATTGGGTGTGTGTATCTACATTACTGCCTAGATAAAACTGTAATCCTTTTCTGTGATGGTGTATTTTGTCAGGCTTTCATAACAAATCTGTTACTCATGGTATTTCCAGTGGGGCCCCAGCAGCAGGTGTTATGTAACAGGACTGCAGAAAGTAGTGGGTCCTTTAGAAGGGAGGTAAGCCTGCATGAGCTTCCCTGCAGAGGAGAGGTCTGGTAGTAAACATACTTCCTGAGTGTTTAATTAAGCCTATTTTAATAATTTGCTAAACTGTGTTATTAAAATTATATCTTTATTGCTGCTTACAATGTGGTCTTTCTCTTAATCCAAAACATGAATTGTGTTTCTTATTTTTATTTGAATTTGCATGTAGGAATTGCATGGGTTATACAATCTGCCTTGTGACAGACCATATTTCAAGAGAGCAAATGCTTATCATTTTCCAGATGAACCATATAAAGATGGATATCTCAGAAATCCACATTTACATCTTAGTTCACCTGGCATGGAGTCTGGTATGGTAAGTTTAAATTGAAACATTTTGCAGAAAGTACCTTTTTATTTTAATTGAGATTTTTTTATTGAAAGAAGTAATTTAGATAGTAAATGATGTGCAGATAAGAAAGTGAAATAATTGGCTTGACCTTTTAAGCAAAAGGGCTTCTCTGCACAAAATGGCATTGCATTAATTTGGATTTTCCTGAGAAATAATAATAAATTGGATTTTCCAGGGAAAATAATGTCCATGATTTTAGCATGTATTCCAAAAATTTTCTCAGAACCAGGACAAGAAACTAAAAATATGAACAAAGAAGTTTAGGAGACAAAACCAGGTGGAGTAATCATGAGTAAATAGTGACCCTTTGAATCTTCCAAAGAATTACAGTCCCCAACTGCAATCTTTATGGGGCAAGTGCCAGGTGATATGACTTCTCTGCAAACTGGTGCAAGTGTGATGAGAAGCCTGTGTGTTCTCCCTCCTGTGCAGGTGTATTCAGTGCAAGGTGTGTACAGTTACCTGTGTGTTCTCCCCTCTGTGCAGGTGTATTTAGTGCAAGGTGTGTACAGTTACCTGTGTGTTGTCCCCTCTGTGCAGGTGTATTTAGTGCAAGGTGTGTACAGTTATCACCACTACATGCAGGACCGCATCGATGACAGTGGCTGGGGCTGTGCCTATCGCTCTCTGCAGACAATCTGCTCTTGGTTCAAGCACCAAGGCTACATGGACAGACCTATACCAACACACAAGGAAATTCAACAGGTACAGAACACTTAAGGAGATTATTTTATGCTTATTGTCTATAAAGGTTTGTGTAGATTATGTTTTAAATATCAAATTCGTACATTTTAGAAGATATTTTTTGTCCTTTAAATTGGACTGGTGGTTCTGAATTGTTTGTTTTGGGTGACATTATCTGTAGAATAAGATACATTAATGAAATGTTTCCTTGGAATAATGTTATATTAGAAGTTGTGATATGACATTTTCAGTGTTTTTGTCAAATGAAAAGAAGAAAGAACCCAATGTGTCATGCTAAAATCAGTTTTAAAACTGGCTGTCATATTCAGTGACAGCTGGATTAGTTCCCAGATGCTACACAGGAATTTACTGACAATTTTTGCAACTTTGCCTCTGACAGTAGTGCACTTTTCCTGATTTTTGAACTCTCCTTCACTTCTTTTGCTGTTTTGAATTTAAATGCATACCATTGTTCGTTTTTGTTAACAGCACTGAATTAAAACTGTAGGCTTGTAGCTAATACCCATACTTGGGTATGCCTGTCAAGGAATACTGCAATTACCTTCTGTCTTCTAAATATAATTCTTCATGTTACAATTATTTACTGAACATTTTTAGTAAATTTTAATTCATTCCATAAAAATACATTCATTGTGTGTAGCAGGGATGTGAACACTAAAGGTAAAACCACATTTCCTGAACATTTCTCAATCCACACCTGAATGCTATTGAAATCTGTGCACTCCTGTAGCATATTTAGGCATCTAAAAGAGGGCAGTAGCCCTCAGAAGACCTTTGGGCTTTGTGTCCTGAGCAGAAAAGGTCCCTCTCAAGTGCTGAATGTAACATAAAAGGCTCAGAATGAAGAAAAGGTTAAAATAAACCATAACCTTTGACATGGATCAGTAGCCTCTTCCCCAGAGCACTATTTTATGGATGTTTTCCTGAGTGCTTTGAATAGAAATCCGAGCCTTTCAGTCTGTGAGGTGGCTTCTGCAGTGTACAAATAATGCACTCCATTATTAAAGAGCTCAGAGGCCCCCCTCCCAGCCTGAAGTCTGCCTGTGGACCTGGGATTGTAGTCTCTGCTCATGGACACAGCTCTGCATTACTGCTCCAAGGGACATTTCCAAAACAGAACCACGGTGAATGATTTCAACATCCATTGGTCTGCTTTTCAACAGCTAGGTTCAAAACACGTCCATATATATAAAGCAACTTTGTTCACACAAAGTGGTGGAATTCCCTACTATATGTTGTTGACATTTGGGTTTCTTCCTCATTGTGATGTTGCACAGGCACTGGTTGATGCTGGAGACAAGCCTGCAGCGTTTGTTGGCTCACGGCAATGGATTGGTTCGATTGAGGTGCAGCTTGTTTTGAATCAGCTTTTTGGAATAACATCCAAAATATTGTTTGTCAGGTAAGAATCATTGCCTGTTTAGTAGCTTGGTAACTGCTAGAAAGACTGAATGCCTTAAAATGCAAATCATGATCACAGTACGTGGGAGAAGAGGTATAATTAAAGAAGAGGTATAATTCACCCTCCATTCCTACCTTTAGTTGTACTAAGTGCTTATAGATGAGGGTAGAGTTAAATTTCTTGGGAGCTTTGGGTTCCACTTTCCATTTTCTATAAATTGCTTAATAATATGCAAATTGCCCAGTTTTATAAAGCTATGGTCAAATGCTTCCACAAGAAATGTGGCTCCCGTGGGGTTTGCTTAATCTATAAATTGCTTCATGATATGCAAACTGATATGGAATTCAGCCTTTGCAACACAATTTTTGATGCAGGCACACAGTCTGATGTCCAGAGAGAACTGAATGTACACTAGCAAATAGATTATTACTGCAGCCACAGACCTAACTTGTGAGTTTAGGATTGAGGCAAATTGTTGAGAAGTCTGGAAAATAATGTTTCCCTTTTTGCATTTGTGTGACAAATAAAGCAAGGAATTTGTTTCCATTCTGACAATCTGATGCTCTCATACACAGTGAAGGACCCTACGAAGATATTTGGAACAAAAAGAATAGTCTTTAGCATTTATCAGAAGAAAAACTGTCATACTTTTTATAATTTAGGATGCACTAAGCTGACTAATAAAACCCTGAACATTTAATAAATACCGTCATGAAATTAAGAACATACAGTAACAGTATGTGTGAAAATACAAACCAAAATGCTTTTCATATATTGTATTTATTTAGAGTAAATTCACATTTTAGGTATTCTAAAAGAGCATAGTGATGGGGATGCTTAATGGTAGGAAAATATTTCAGGTCTTCAATATTTTAATCTTTTTTTTTGCTCCAGAGTTTGTACTTGCAGAGGATTCACCTATTATTGATAGCAGCAGTGAAGATTTTTATTCCTGCATATGAGAATATAGAATATACTCCTTTCTGAACTGGGTCGAATTGCTCATAGTGCTGCTACAAGGGAGCACCAGTTTTTCTCAGTGTTACAAAAAACCAACATCAATACCATGCTGGGAAAAAGAAACAATCATGCAGCTTTTTCAGCTGGTCACTGGCAGTGGATAGCATTTTTGTCTTGGGCTTATTTCCAGCAAGCATCTCTAATTCTTTATGGAAATAAGACTTCACAGCTGCACCAGCAACACTGCTACTGGATCCATTGTAATAAATGCATCATTTCCCAGTTTTGTATTCTGTCTGCATTTAATCCATTCCTACTTGGGGAGTAGGCACACAGACTTTCACTGGGTTTTAAAAAGATTAGCCACTATATGAAGAAATAAAAAGACAAGATATCAAAAATGTCTGTATTAATATCCATGCCTAGCAAATAGACCTTATGTTCTAGCAAATAGACCTTATGTTAGGAAATATTTTTCAGATTTTCTCAGGAAGTTTAGAAAGGAATAATCCAAGTGACTTTCTAATCAGTTATCTATGCAGTGAACGAGTATAATGGACAATTGTGAAGCAAGTCTAGTGAGAATGACAAGTCTCTTCTTGTTTTTCTTACCTAGCCAGGGTTCTGAATTAGCATTGCAGGGAAGAGAGCTTGCTAATCATTTCAAGACTGAGGGAACTCCAGTTATGATTGGTAAGTACTTGAGTGTTGAAGAATGCTAATGAAAGTGCATGGCCTCCCTGTGCTGAATTTCATTTCAATTAGAACCCATTTAATTTACTGTACAAAAGTTAATCAAAACTGTAGATGAATTAAAAATTACGGTTTTCCCAAGGTAGCCCCGAAAATGATAGAGTTTAGTCTGGCTGGTATATTTTTATTTGGTATTTCCTTCAAGCTCAGTTTTAAACATGGGAAAAAAAGTCAGTCTAAATGGTGTTTTTATAAATTTCTATTAAGTCAGAACTTGAGCTGACTTGCATTCTCTACAGGAGCAGAAGTTCATAGAGTTCCCCAAAACTTCCCCTCAGACAAGAGTACTGTTTATCTGGCTTGGAAGAGAAGGGCATTATCCAAATTTGTTTTAAGACCAGTTTTAATAATCTGAAGTATTGGTATGATAAGTGCCATTTGTAAAAATACTGCAACATTAATTGAACTGTTTTTTCCATGTTGTGTTTTAGGAAATTAGCAATATTGATGTTATTATTTTCAACTTTAATAACATTAATTAATGCAATTTTTCAATCTGTATTTGTCATTCCGTAATACATTGTAACTTTCTCAAAACAGAGGTGCCAGAAGTCCAGACTTTGGTATGGTGGTGGTTTAGATTAGAGATTAGGAAGAAATGTTTCCCTGTTGGACACCAGAACAGCTGCCCAGAGTTCTTTGTGGATGCCCCAAGACCAGGGGGATGGCCCAAGGCTCAAGGCCAGGATCAATGGAGCTTTGAGCATCTGCTCTAGAGGGAGGTGACCTCCCCATGGCAGGGGGGTTGGAACTAGGGGATACTTAAAGCCCTTTACAACCCAAACCGTGCTATGATTCTATTAAATATTCTTGGCCTTTGAGCAGCCTTTAATTTCAAGAGTGTAGAATCCTGTATTGAAAAATCTTTTCGTACCCTTTGTACTGCGCTCTTGTAGGTTGGTTTGATTTTTGTTGTCATTGGAGGGCTGGAGTTGGGCTTTTTGAGGGTAGGGTTTGGAGATTGGTTTTGCTTGTATTCTTCCAGGGATTTTGCAATCCCTATGTGCTGTGTGGAGTTATTAGTACAATATTGAGGGGAAGTAAAATATTGCATGTTGTCTTAAAGAAACATGGAGGAGTTGACCTGTGCCCATCTCATCAAAATATCCCGTTTTTCTGTTTGCAGGCTGAGGAAAGGGAAATCAGAATTTACTATTCTGCCCCTAATATTCATTGATGTAATACAGTAGAAAACAACAGATAAACTTCATCCAGGAATTCAGATTTCTCTTCTAATTTTAGTCCTTTTACAACCATGAAATTTTGCAGATTTCTTTCCTACAGTTAGGTTTCTTTAAAAAAAAGTGCAAAAGAGATGTTTGAAATATTCTTGACTTCATCTGGTGGAAGTGCTGAGGATTTAACCTGCCTTGATGACTTGAAAGAAATTTGGAGAATACATTCTCTACTTATTTTAGTTACTACAACTAACCTTTCTCAGATGTAGTAAAGATACAATGTTTAATAATGTCAGGAATCTTATGAAAGAAACACTTTCAGAATCATCTTGATACAAGCTAATCTGTGAAGAGAAGGTGTTGATGTACTTTTATTTAGACCTTGCATGTTAAATCAATCCCAATGAAAAAAAAATCAGCAATCTCTGTTTCTCCTGTTTTAGGTGGAGGTGTTTTGGCTCACACAATATTAGGAGTGGCTTGGAATGAGACTACAGGGCACATTAAATACTTGATTCTAGACCCACATTATACTGGAGGAGAAGATCTGCATGTTATATTGGAAAAGGTGAGGCTCAATGCACATACACACTCACACATTTATGTATATACATGTATTTTGGCATTAAACATATAATGTCCAGACAAATACAACGTGGCCATTCTATGGCTTCTCCATTCCTTATTGAAGAAGCACTGACCCCACTTAGCCTGCATACTGCAATATGCTAAGTATTGTCAGTTTCTGAAACTTAGTGTCTTTGGAGATGTATCAGATCAGAAACTACAGCAAGTTATACTATAAAGAAATGTTCTTTATTTTATATGAATTCACCCATCTTCCCTTTTACCTAGGAGTATATACCATAAATGTGTTTTATATTTTGAATAAAACAGAAAATTCTGTTCAGGCTGTAAGATGCTCTAAATGAAAGAGAAGATCATTTATTTTAAATATTAAAAGTTATTTTAAAAATCCAGCAATAACCATTCTCAGATTAGGCCTTTAACAATGATCAGAGGGTAGGTACTGAATTGTTTTGAAAATGTGGAAAAACTGCAAAGTGCTCAGGGGCATGTAATGTCATTTCCACATTTAAAGCCACTAAAAGGGATGACACAGCATGTTACAAACCAGTAAATATAGTGTCAGAAATGTAAACTCTTAAAGCAGCTGAATCATCCTGTAAGTGCTAGGTAATCAATGTCTTTTCTGGTTTTCATATTAAGTTGGAAATAGTAACTTTTATTTCTAATTGATACCCTTGTGTACACCCAACAAAAAAACCCAAACAAACAAAAAACTAACAAATAAAGCCAAACAAACAAAAGCCCATAAAAAAACCCCAACAGACAAAAAAAAAAGGAGCTCTTTAAGAAACATTTTACTGGCCTATAATGATCAAAGCTTGAAATGAACACAGGAAGAAACAATTTCCAAAGGATGTGTAGGACCAAAGGCTGTTAGAGCTACTAGCTGTTAGAATGGTTTCAGTGGTCCAGGAGGATAAAATAAATGCAGAACCCACTTTCCTCATCAAAAGTGTCTAGGGAGGAACTAAGGGAAACTGTGAGAATGATGGTGTTTCAGAATAACATTAGCCTCTCAGGAGCAGCAGAAGGTAGTGGGGATGGGGAGGAGATGATACTTTCTAAGAATTAAGCTGGGGAGGGAGGAAGGGGGAGAGAGTCTTTCTGTAATGTGTTTTCCATTAATGTGTTTCCAGGCATGTAGAGAACTTTCTGAAAATTGTCATTGCATTCTACAGACATTTGAAAATAATTCATACAGCTCAGATTAGTATAATTGGTAAAATAGGAATAGACTCAATAGTAAAAAGCAGGAAAAACAGAATTGGAATTTCTGTCAGGAAACCCAGATTTTGAAGTAGATTTAAAAGCTCTCTTGCTTTTCCTTGGACAGGGCTGGTGTGGCTGGAAGGGCCCGGAGTTTTGGAACAAGGACGCCTACTATAACCTGTGCCTACCTCAACGACCCAAGGCTATTTAAATTCACTCTCATGCTGAATATGCTGAGACAGAACAGTAGCTAAACTAGATAAAACTCTCCTGTTATTTATCAAAATAATGCTTTAAGTCAATCAAAACCCAGTTGAAATAGAAATGTTGGTTGAATGACTTAAATTAAGAAACTATTTTTTTTAAATGAAACCTCTAGAAATAAGAGTTACCTGCTTTGAACTGTATTCCTTATAACTGTATTCCTTATTGTTGCATCTATTAGGCAACAAATACTCTGTACTTTTCCATAGCACAACTTCAGGTTTATATAGTATTTCCTCTTCTGCTAGAATCTTTGTAGATTAAATGCCAAATCCAATTGTTTTAGGGAATTCTTTCATGACAAAAAGATAAAGTGTCCTCTGCCTTTCAAGTTCCACTTAGCCAGCTGTCTTGTCCATTATGAACCTGTTCAAAGGCTTTGTTTGTTGTTGGGATTCTTGATGAGGCATTTTAGAAGTGGGAAAAGAATGGCCGTATTTACTGAATTTTATTAATTTTTCTGTCATATTTACACAGAAAGATAATTAATTTTTCTATGCTCATTTACTTATAACTGAATGAATACAAGTATTCCAGGGGAAAAAAAACCCTCAAAAAATGCTTCTGTAAGAAGTAACAATAAACAAGCTTTCCTCCTTCTCAGAAGGAGACAATGTCCCAGCACACACATCTGACTGCTCGGTGTATCATCCAGTCATGGTTCTTCATATTCCCCTTATTTCATGTTGGAATTACAAGCTGTTTCTTCTGGCAGCTAGGAGACAAGATCTGTCATAGGGATAAAATAAGTCTGTAGCTACTTCATCAGTACATCAGTAAGAGTACCAATGATTTATTTTTTTTTCTGTGTTGATGTAGGCTCTTAAGTGGCATTCCACATATACTGTCCATTTCCAAGAATACCCTAACCTTAAGTACCTATGCAAGTTCATCCTTACTAGGAGGCTCCTAAATCTAACTGCTCTAACACACGTTTGTTTTACTTAGATGCTAAAAACATTTTAAAAATATTCAGATTGGTATTAAACCAACACTGTTACACACCATCTGATCTTCTCCTCTTCCTGTTTATGGATCTGCTGGTTTCACTTTCCTGTTTCTGTGCAGTTGGATCCTCTCTCTGCAAGCCGTGTCTGTCACTTAGCGAGTATCCAGACTGTCCTCTCAGTTTCATTGTCTGAGTGTGCTGAATTGTCCTGAGGAACTTGGCACATTCCAGAAAGCCATAATCCAGTGCAAGGTCTGCTGCTGTCTGTCCACTGTTGTTGCACAAGCTGAAATCCAGAATTAACAATAACCAATTAAATTGGAATAATGAGCAAGTGCTGATGAAGTGGTGATTTACGCAGGTGTATAAAAATAAGTACTGAGAATCAATAGCAAGAAGGTTTGTCAAGGATAGCATACAGCTCATACAGGGGGTTGGTATTAAATACAAAAAGGAATAATTATTTTGAAATAAATTATTCATCAGACTATTACTGGCTTTAGCCTAACAGAAAGGCAAGGAGAGGGTGAGATTATGATCAGGATTTACTCTCCTCAGTTATCACAGAGGCATATAGCTAAACAACAGCATGTGAGCATGTGGTCAGTGCTCCTTTGGTGTTTATGTCAGTTTTTCATACTCCTGTGGCTATAGCCATGCTATATTTGCAGCCTCAGCATGTGTGTTCTGAGCAAGTTAAATGTACTCTGTAAAATGCACATCCTTTGATGCTCTTACTGAAGTTAATAAATGTCATTCAACTTACTCAATTTTAGCATCACCAGCAACAAGGAGAGCAAGACATTCCAAACTCCCAGCTTTTGCTGCTTTATGTATCGGGGCTTCTCCAAGGCAATCCTAAAAACACAATTTATATATAACAGTCATTTGCAAGAAGAGGAGTAGGATAAAGCTGTCTTGTTCTCACAAATGACTGTTTATGTACACCAGTCTGTTGTGAGCTGGGAGATTAAAGGAATATAGCTAGGATAGTAATGGTAACTACCATTAAATGTCTAATGTATTCATCATCACAAAGCAGAAGTGCTGTCTCCTGCAGTACTCATTGTTTAACCTTTGCCTTCTAAAAGATAACTTACACAGAATACTCTCTACAAGATTAACAGCATCTCTTGGCACCATTCAGGGATTGCTGTGACCAACAGCTTGCTACCAGCTCAGAGGTATAAGAGATTCAACTCAGCAACTCGAGTAAGAATCCTTTCATTTACTCGAAGTAGGGACAAACTTTTGGAGGAAAAATAAATACTCAAGTTGTGTAAAAGAATTAAGTTGTTTGGACATCTGCATGCAGCACTCTTAAGTGTGAAAATTAAATTATACATTGCAAGCGAAGTTGCTAATGCAATATAGACAGGATTTCTGGTTCATGCTAGAAGTTACTCGAGAATAAGCCACCCTAGATATCTCATGCAATACAATTGAGTTTAAAAAAACCCTCTCTTAGATAAAAAGTGTGTCAATAATATTAAGTGAATTTACTGACATGCCAGATTAGAAGTGGAAGGAATAAAACATAGTGTTTTTTACCTGTTGGTTCAAATTTGCTCCTGTCTGCAGTTGCCAAAGTAGGAAAAAAGCTTCACCACCACAAGCAGCCAAGTGAGCTGGAGACTGACCAAAGGCATCTGCAGGTGCATTCACAGCGGTTCCCGTCTCAAATAGGTTGCTGAAACTACCAGACTGAAACAGGATAGCAAAAGAAATGTTACTGCCAGTGTAAGCCACGGCAAGTCTCAGAATACTGCATCACTGCAAGCAAAAAACATTCCCCATGCACATCATTGGACCTTCATGTTCCTTGCAACTGCCTTCTAAATATTTTCTTTTTTAAAGAGCAGTGCAAGAAAGAGTTTGTTGGCTTTTAATCTCTTAACCAGAAATACCGATCGACAGGGTTAGTGCCCCAGCATTAACAGCAGCAGCTCCATGCAAACAACCCCTCATTCACTTCCGCAGCCGGGCTCCCGGCAAGACAGAACCACAGCCAGAGCGTCCCAAGCCTCACCTCGGAGCTGCAGTCCAGCATCAGCATCGCTTCCCCTTGCTGGGCGCGGGGCTCTCGGGGCTCGGGGCTCTCGGGGCTCGGGCTGTCAGGGCCGGGCAGCGCGGCACGGGTCCGTCCTTGCCCGCCTCCCCGCCGGGCTGCGAGCGCCGGGCCCGCGGCCCCGCCCGCGCCGCCGGCCGCACGTAGGCAGCGGCAGCCGCCGCCCAATGGCCGCCGCGAGGCTCCGCGGGGCCGCGGCCGGGCCGGGGCTGGCGGCGGGGGCGGCCATGTGGCGCGGGGCCGGCCGGCACGTCCCGCACACACTCGCCAGCCGCGGCAGCGCCCTCCGGAGCCTCGGGCAGCCCGGCACCCGCTGCTGCACCGCCCGGGAGCGGGCTCGCTGGAAGCGCCGCTGCCCCGGGAGCCGGGAGCCCTGAGCGCGGCCTGGTGTGCGCGGGGCTGTGCTGCTGCCAGGCGCAGCCGCCACAGCGCTTCTGCCAGCCGACCTTAACGCTGGTTTGGGAAGGCTAGACCAAGGCAGACTTGCATCTAGGAAAGAAAACAATTGAGAATTAATTTAGATTTTTTTTACCAAAAAAACAAAGCTTAAGTCATTGAAAAGAAATCCGTACAATCGTCCTGCCCAAGCTCTGCCACTAGGCCAGGGAGACTGGACAGACGTGTCACGCTGTGAGACCCAGCTCTGCCCTTCAGCACAGACATTGCAGCATCACCACCAGTGTGAGCGGGACTGGAATCGGCAATGCTGGATCTGGGCACAGCCCCCTGCCACATCTCTGCTCAAAACAGAACCTTGCAAAAACAGAACCTTGATTGTCACTTACATGAGCTTGAAGCATTCTAGAGAGGGCGAGTGTCCAAAGTGCACAACTCCGGTCCCTTAGCATTATGGTATTTCCTTCTGTCTCAAATACCTACACGTTTGTTATGGAAGTTCCTCATAATCACCACCATAATTTAAAAAAATAATTGAAAGTCACATATTTAAAAAACAAATAATAATGGCACAGTTTTAATAAACAGAGATGGGGAAAAGAAGCCTAACAGTATTCCTTTAGGGCATACATAGTTCTGAAATTAATTCACAAACATGATGAAATTACCTTCTGCTTCTCCTTTGGGAAAGCTAATATAAATTATTTTAGTATAATATGAGCATATGCAGTACAATTTTTAAAGGTGCAGAAATCCAGGTAGATGGGCGGTGATCAATTCAGCTGAATTGTTTCAGTAAGTGACAGTTTTCACTTCTCTTTTACATGGAAAGAAGTACACTTGTGTAATTACAAAATGTTGTATTGGGTTTGTCCCTGAACAGCTAGCCAAGCTAATTAGTTAACAAACAAAATTCCTACACTTCCACCTATGCTTTGTTGGGGATGAAATACCTTTGTGCAATTTTAAAGATTCTTTTGAAAACACACATATCCAGAATTAGCTAAAGCTAAATAGTTTTACATTGCCCAAGAGGTTGTGTTTTGGTGCTTTTGGTTTTATTTTTCTTTTAAAGATCTTTCCTCCCCACATTACCTCAGCAATTCAGAGGTTTCAAGCTGCACCTGAGGAATCTCATCTTTCCAGCCTAGCCACCTACACACACATCTGCATCCGGCCAGCCAAAACTCTTCAAATTCCTGCTATTAATTAGTTCTTGAGCTTCAGGTCACATTTTGCACACCTCATTAGTGCCTGCAAAACTCTTCTGCTTTTGAATAACTGGCATTTGTCTTGTATAAACACAGGAGTAACAATTCTCATCCTTTGTGTAGGGGCAGCCCCAAGTGCCAGGTAAGGACAAGGCTTCATGGCTACAGCTGTTCTGGAAAATAAGTTAGCAAAAAGTCTTCTGTGCTTTGTATCTCAGATCACACACCTTGCACATGTATCAACAAAATTAAATTGGAAAAATTGGTTTTAATGAATGTGTAAGCAGTCAGATAAACCAAGGTGTGCTGGTGAATCTCACACCCTTCTGCATCAAAAGCAGCCATGCAACCCATTGTTAGTTGTCTTTGCTGAAGGGTACTGCTGCTTTCACAGACTGTTCTTCACTCTGCCTGTTCAATCAAGTAATTAATTGATGCTTTAAAAAAAAAGTTTCCTTTCCTGTAGATTTCTTTGGTTATATCCTCTACACAAAATGAACCAGGATTAATTTTAGCAGTTTTTTGGTACTTAAAGTCACTTGGGACTGCTGGGAAACATTACATTGAGCCCATGGTTTTAACCACACAAATCTGCAGGCATCACTCTCCCGTTTTGATTGTTGCCTCTGTCCCTGTCGCTATAGAAACAGATCGCACTGCCAAAAATGGAAGGATGATAATCATCTGGAAAAAAAAGAAAAAGCTGGGAGCACAGCTAAAGATTATTTTGAAAGCACTCTCGTGCATTTTGATATTAGCCCCTTTTTGTAAGAGAGACAGCCAGAAGCAATCAACAGAAGTGGAAACAACGCTTTACATTTCAGGAGAAACCTCGAACAGCATCTTCCCTCAATTATCCTTTTTAAGTTTTTTAATATCTATATGGGCAAAACAAACTACATTACAACGAACAGTTTCTGATCACTGGAAGCGGCGTGAAGTCCCGCCTGCTGGACCGAAATGTCACGGCCTGGTGCCTTTTTCTCTGAATTGCATTCGGAGTTTCTGCTCCTTTTGCCTGTAGTGTTCTGCGGAGCATTTTGGGCTTCTGTTTTTAGTTTCCGACAGCACGGGCGGCAGCAGGGAAGATCCGCAGCCCGTCCGGCCGCTTGTTGACAGCTCGCTCCGGACAACGGCCGGAGGCGGGGCCGAGCCCGAACGGCAAAGCCGTCGTTCCGTCCCCATCCATCCATCCGTCCCTCTCCTGCCCTGCCGGAGGCCGTGCCGCCCCACGCCCGGCTATGGAGCGGCGCCGGGAGCCGGCACGGGCCGGGCAGGGCGGCGGCAGGTGCCGCCACAGCACCAAGGGCCGATCCACGGCCGGCAGCTCCAGGTCCCGGGACTGCCCATCGCAGCAGGCCCCGCCCGAGCCGCCTTCGGGCGCGGGGCTGCCGGGGGAGCTGGGCCGGCGGTGCTGGCTGGCGCTGCGCTGCGAGCGGCTGCCACAGGAGCCCCGCCCGCCAAGTGCCGCCCGGACCGGCCCACCAGGTACCGCCCGAGCCGCCAGGTTCCGCCCGGCCCGGCCCGGCCGGCAGGCAGGCGCCGGTTTGAGCTCTTCACGGCGGGCTTCACGCACACGGCGGTCAGGCTGCATTCACTGAACGTTTCCTTCGGGCTGCCTTCGCTCAGCTTTCCGGTTCTGTAACAGAGCCTTCTCTTTCATCTTAGTCTCTTGAAGACCATCTTAGAAAGGGGACCCGGCCAACTTCAGACCTCTACTGTATTAAGGCAGGTTTCACCTCTTAGGGGACAAACCCAAACGTGTGTCTGTTTTTAATCAGAGGACCACTGCCGGGATGCACTCTTGGCAAAATCGGAGGAGTTGCCAGTGAGGAGTGAGGCACGTGGAGATCCTCCATCACCTTTTCAGAAGGGACAACGATACTATGAACAGGTGCTTTCCCTCTTTTAAGTAAATACTGTAAAGCAGACAGCTTTCAACACCTTTTCCGTGAAAAAAGAGACACCTTAAAAACCTAAAAGAGGGAAGTTCCCTATGCCTGTTTTCTTCCTATTAAAATCGCCTGGTGTTCCCCCTAAATAAGCTGCACTTTGCCCAGACATCTAGTGAGGTCTTCCAGTTCCCTCAGAGGTCTCCTAAGGAGCAGATAAGTAAGCAGCAGCCTATCCTTACAGCTAACTTCCAAGCCAAGTTGGGTTTTTGGGCAGCTGAGTGCCCAAATACAACACACTTGGGTTTCAGTTATAGTGAGAGTGAGCCCTGACCAAGACACAGCTTTCGATCCTTGTTCCCCACCTGGGAACTAGAACTTGTTGAAATGTATAATCTTCAAGATCTCTGTCCCTGCCCACTTTGGCTAAAATTGGTCATCCAAGTCTTGGAAAGTAAATCCTCAGGGAACAGGGTAAGACTGGCTGGCAAGTGAATGTAAACCTCAGCTTCCTGTGACAATTAGAACTTAGTTCAAGAAGATAGAAAAGAATGTAGTAAAAACAATGAGTCAGATACTTTCTGATGTGACATGCACAGATGCAGTACTGTTTACAGTGCAGCAGTGGCACAGTGTAAATCAGTCTCACGGTTTGCAGCAGGAACAGAATTAACTCACTCAGGCTTTCTGCATTCTGGGCCCTGTCCTTAATGATTTCGTTAATGAATTAATGATGTTTTCGTTAATGAATTACAAATTCATTAACAATTCCATGAGACAATTCCATGGAGCTGAATGAACAGACTCCTCTCTGTTTCTTGACAAGCTGGCTTGGATGTCCATGATAGATATTGCTGTACATCCCTAAATTTATTCTTTGAGCAGGTTTTAATTTTCAGATTTTTTAATGTATGTCTGTAGTGCCTAAAAATGCACATGCTCCTAGCACTGTACTTTTAGATACTGGGGAAAAAAAACCCACTTCCTAATCACAGCCCTTTGTCTCCTTCACATAGCACAAAATTCTCAGGAAAGGTGAGATTAAATGTGCCTCCTGTACTTCTTTTGCTGATATTCATGACAGCTAGTTGCAAAAAGAAACTGGCTTTTTTTTTTTCCAGAGTTCTTTAAAAATACAAACCCCCACAATCAAAATGGATAAGTTCCCAAGACAATTAAGATAATAACTTGGTCAGTATTAATAGGGGTTGATTGGTCATTGTGAGGACATTTAACTGAGTGTTGAACTGTTGCTCAGTTCTAAGCTTTTGCAGTCTTCTTTTTTTTTTGATCAAAACACACAGTAATTTTGAAGTAAAAATATAGATAAGAATATTTTAATTTCTCTCTTGTTTTTACTTAGTGTTTATGTGTAAAAGTATTTCAGTTAACTGAGGACACCAGGCTCAGTTAACTGTTGTATTAGAGTTGTTTAACTGTATTTGTAAGTGTGGTTTCTTCTCAGACTTAATGCAGAAGCAAATACTCTTAGAGATTCATTCTTAGGAATAAAAGCACCTCTGTTGTTGCAGGTGATACCTCCATAAGGTATGTGTGGCAGACATCTGGTCCATGAAAGTCTTCAGACATCTGGTTGATTAGTCTTTGTGAAACCAGCCCTTAGCAGAGATGTAAAAGCAGACTGTTAAACCCTCGAGGTGTAAGAGCAGCTGACCTAAGTTAAAGGATGTCAGATCGAGGGGGCAGGGACTCTGAACTAGACTTTATCTGCTCAAATTGAAAAGATTTGTGGCAGTTTGTGAGAGGGGAGAAAGTTTGTCAGAATGGCTTTTGGTTACCCAACTTTCTTGGTTCTTTATTTACTCTGTTTTCTGACAGCTCTGTGGTTGCAATTTCTTGTTCTTCATTCATGAGAGAAATACACCAGGTTGAAAAATAGTAAGGGTGTATATATCAGAGAGTTATTGTTTGTTTTCTCTTTCTCAGGGGTTGTACAAACAAGCATTAAAGCGATTTGAAAAAATCAAGGATACAGATTTTCAAGCAATGTATCAGCTTGGTGTAATGTATTATGATGGACTTGGCACTAAAAAAGACCCTGTGAGTTATTTAGCTGCACACTTTTTATTTTTCTTCTAATATCAGCTGATAATTACTAGGAGCTTCTTTGTAAGCATGATTATTTAGTTTAAAATTAACAGCCTGTTCATTTAGTTTCATAAAGTGCAGATGTTTACAGAGCATCATTAAAGAATGAAGGCTCTGGGTTGAGGAGGTTCTCAAAAATGGTTATAATAAAATAGGAATAAAAGAATACAGTAATTTCTATTTTAAAATTAACTTTCAAGGGCTTGGTTGGACTTCACGTGGAAGCTAGGTTTTAAATTGCTTTAATTTTTTTTACTTTTTAATAAGCATATTATGTACATGAAAATAAAGTGAGTAAAAGTGGAAATCAAACAATTATATTTCAAAGTATATTTCAAAGTATAAGATCTCTGACACAAAGATTTTTTAAGGTACTTTTTATTCTTTTAGCACAGATGCCAGAGATGGTTGTGCTTCTACCAATGGTTGACAGTATTATTCTTAAGTTAGACACGTGAAAAATTACATTTGTAAGCATTTGAAGAATTCAGACTGAAGAATTCTATTGCAAAAAAGGAAGACAAAGGAATGCTTTGCTACAATAAGGAGAGTTCATTTGTTGGTGAAGATGATCTTAAATAGTGGCATAAGGAAAGAACACAAGCATTAGGAATAAAAGGATTGATTATAAGACAGAAGGCCAAAAAAAATGAACCAATGAGTGTATTAACAATTGGGACTCCTGTCTGGTGCTTACAGCATTGTCAGCAGAACTGAAAACATTCTGATTGGGGTTTGGAGGTGGTTTATTTTTTCTGTATGTCTGCATAATTACCATGTTTGTTTACTTGCAAATAAACATTTTAACAAAGTTACTTCCTTTCTTGTGTATTACAATATGAAAGCTAAATAAAAGCAAAACCTTTTATAAAGGACTGCTTCTAGTGTATTTATACAGAGTGTCCATGCTAAATCCTAACAGTGTAAATCTTATTTCTAAGGTAATTCTGAGGCCCAGTTGCTCATATGCAATGTTATCCATCTGCTTATTTAACATGATCAGATTTTGTCCATTATGAGTCTAAGGTGTTTTAATTGCAGAGACTTCAAATTGTACTATGTATCACTTTGCTTTCTTGTTAAGATTGTTTTATGATTTCAAATACAATATGCAATATTAAAAAGCTCTCAGAATTCTGAAATTGAAAATGTTACAAGTGTAGGATGTGACATTCATTTACATAAGCACAATAATATTTTTGGGAAAAAATTTGTCAGTGAAGAAGAGTAATATATTATCAAATGAACATTATGAGGAAATGTTTCACACTAAAAATATGCTGGGGTCAAAAATTTAGGGGCTGTCTAGTAACCAAAGGTCAGTTCTGCTTTGGTATGACACTGTTCTCCAAGCTGTCCTGCCAGTATGCCTCAGCTTTTCTTCAAAGGGGAAAAAATTACCTGTCTGGCAGAAGTTAGTGCATTCTCAGGTTACATATGTCATCCTCTTCACAGTCTGAACATAATAACTTATATACAACTTATATAACTTATATTTCCTACAATTTTAGGAGAAGGGAGTGGAATACATGAATAAAATACTCAACTCTGATTCCCCAGAAGCAAGTCACTTGAAGTTTGCAGCTGCATACAATCTTGGCAGGGCATATTATGAAGGATGTGGTGTTAAACATTCAGTTGAAGAGGCTGAAAGGTAAGGGCAGTCTGTGATTTTCCTGAAAAATTATAAGATTGTATGTTTCTTAAACTTTGTTGTCCCCATTTTCTTAGGTTGTGGCTTACTGCTGCAGACAATGGAAATCCAAAAGCAAGTGTAAAGGCCCAGAGTACTTTAGGAATGCTTTATTCTATGCCGATTCTAAAAGATATGAAGAAGGTAAAGCCCTACCTTTTGAAATACAAAGTAGTCATGACTAATTTTTAATTTCAGAGAAATAATACAGTGGTATATTTGACTCTGAACATTGTATTTTGAGTAGTTAGACATTATCATCCATTTAAGCCAATGTAAACAGATAGTCAGAATTCCTCATTTTGACTCACTTGACACTGCTAGCTAAGGTTTTTTGGTTTTTTTTTTTTTTTTTTTTTTTTTTTTTTTTTTTGTGAGAGTATCAGAAAGAATGACAGAATGGATTAAAGTTGTGCCAGCTTTGGTAACCTTCATAATTCAAGCAGGTAACACTGACTGACAGCTCTGACTGTAAATGAAACAGGTTTAAAAGCCTTACAAGAATTCTTCTTTCTTTTATGTATAAGCACTTCCTACAGGATGCTTGGTGTTAAAGCTTTTATGGAAACAGTATACAAGAAAATCAGCTAAGTAAATACATACCCTGACTTTGTGCCTCTTGTTCAGGCCTTTTTCTGGCATTCAAAAGCATGTCAAAATGGAAATCTGGAATCAAAGGCAGCACTTGGCATTATGTATCTCTATGGACAAGGTACATGTCGAAACAGCCAAGCTGCTTTGGAGTACTTGAGAAAAGCAACGGAACTTGGAAATATCTATGCTCAAGGCCATCTTGTGGAATATTACTACACTGGAAAATTTTACTCAAAAGCCGCTGAACTAGCCAAAAGGTAATTTTTGTTCTATGCTTCATTAAGGTTCTTCATGCAAGACCACATAAAACAGATTTAAATTATTATTAGATTATGGTCCTGTGTCTTTCAAACTCAAGAAATGTAAGAGATAATGAATTGCAAAACATCTTTAACAACAGAATAGCCAATGACAAAATTAATACTATAAGGTTCTCAATTCCTCAGTATGATTGAACTTTTCCTTGTGATCCAATGAAGCAAAACAGCCTTGAACTAGAAACCAAAGCAGATGCCTGGATGCAATCCTTCCTTCCTTGTGCACTATCTCCTCTAGGTTCCTGCCTTCACGATTCCCTTTAACCCCTACAGTCATAGTGCCAAAGACCCCCGAGGTTGGAAGGTTGAATCATCTGGTCCAGCCTTTCTTGGCAAAAGCACAGTCTGGACACAATGGCCCAGCACCCTGTCCCGCTGAATCTTAAAAGTGCGCAAGGTCAGTGAATCCACCACTTCCTTTTACTGCTTTTCCATCTTTGGTGTGCATCTCCTTTGGTTTTGAGCGGGCTCAGAAACTTGGAATTAAGTCAAGCGGGTCTCTTGCTACCTACTTTCCTTACCTTTGAAGGGAATGAACAAACAGTTCATTGTGCTTCCAGAAGAGCATTCTTGAAAAATTCCCAGCTGCTCACTAGCTCCTTTATTCTCCACAGAAGCTTCCTATGGAGACCCTCCCAACTGTGCTGTGAGCTGAAGTTTACTATTCTGAAATCTGAAACCTTTGTGTTAGTACCAACCGTCAGAGTGCTCAATGGGATCCCAGATCCTCAATATTGTGATCACTGCACCCAAGGCTATCACTGAGGTCCTACAAAGTAGATTTTCTTGATTTGGGAGTAACAAGTCAAGCAGTGCCTCATTCCTGATTGGCACATCTGACATTTGGTTGAGGCAGCAGCACTCCACTGCTCCATTCCAGGAACTTCATGAATGTCCTGGGAGTTGCTGTATTCTTATTGCACCTAATGCCTGGGTAGTTCAAGTCACCCATAAGATCCAGATTTTGTTACCCAAAGCTTACTTAAGTGACCCAAGTATTATCTCATTGGTCTTACTGTCTTGATTCAGAGATCAACAACAGATGCTTAGTGTAAGGTCCCTCTTGAGATGGTCCCTCTGTTCCTGACCTAGAGGCATTCAATAAGGCTGCTAGTTTGTTTCTCCACATTCAAGGTTCTCCTTAATTCAGTGCATGACTCCTCCTTTTTCTGTCTTTACAAAACAGCCTATGGCCATCCCTCACGATCCTCCCGTCATGTGAGTTGTTCCACCTTGCTTCAGTTATTCCTATGGTTGTGTGACTTTGAGTGGCTGCAGAGCTCCAGTTCCTCCTGTTTGGTCCCCAGGCTGTGTGCACTGTACACCAACACTTGGGGTGGATGTTTTCTGCTCCTCACCTGGGAAGCAGCTAAGGAACATTTGTTGCTGCTCTGGTTGGCCTGGCTTATCCCCCAGTTGGTTGAAACATGGCACAAGTGCAACCACTTCAGGTTCAAGAGCAGTGTTGGCACAATGTTCTATGGCCGATAAACAGCACATTTCTGTGACAAACCTCCATTTACCAGTGTATTGATAAAAGTTCAATCTGTTAATCAGATTATTGACTTGCTGGAAATAAGATGCGGATAGATTAACTATTTGGACAAGTGGCACATGATCGCATGTGTGCATTTTGGGGTGTGTCAGCATAGCTGCTGCTGCACAGCAGCAAACATGTCACACCTTACCATCGTACAGAAGCTGCACTGTATGCCACTGAGTAATGGAAGCTTGGTTAAATCAGTAGTTCAGCTATGGATGCTGTTTGCTCTACTCCATGCTGAGAAGGACTGTTTCTCTCTGAACTGCTGCTTTTCTTTCTCTTGCACTGTCAAACTGGAGCATTGACTGTTCAGCCTGTCTCACTGGGAATGAATCCCCTCCAGTCAATGCTGCATGGTAGATTATCCAGACAAGTAGAGTGCACCTCATCAGCTGCCATTGCAGAAAATAGCAATGAAATCCCACAGTACTGTCAGAGGTGACCATTTCTGAAATAAAACACTGAAACTAAACTTGAAACAGTTACACTAAATTAGAATTGAAGATAGCCTTGAGGCAAAAATCTTAGCAGTTCAGCCAGTAATATCAAGCACTGATACCTTTTCTGCTAAAATTTGTCCTTCTGTGTTCATAGCAACTACATTTGTTACATTAGATACAAGCATAAAACATTATGTGACTACGTACGGTATAACCTTGCTTAATATTTGGAGTCTACATTACCTACTGATACTTCACTTCAAATTCAGTTATCCCACACAGTTGTACTTACCAATTGCTGTGGTGTGTTCTTGAAGTCAGCTGTGCTGAAATAGAATTCTTGCCTGAATTGACTGGCTTTCATTATTTGCATCAGCATTCTATAGATTATCTTTCAGAAAGGAAGGGAAAATGTTACATATCAGGAATAACTAGAGGTAATATGTTACTGTTGTTTTATTTCAATGTTCTTGCTAAATAAGAACAGTTGTGTTACTGTATTTGTTAATGGGACCAAATTAGGTGGAAGAACATCATTCCCAACACTTCCAGGTGATCTAGCAGGCACTGACATGCAGAGGATTATTTGAGAACAATCTTTCATAAACAGTGATTTATAGGAAGTACCTATAAACTGAAATTACTTGCACTTTTCCTTCTTCTGTCAAGTCTGTGACCTTGACATCAGTAAAATGATGTATAAAGAAGCACATTATTACTGTTTGCTACCTGGAAAGGGTATAGGGCTTGGGGGTATCTGTTTTAAGACAACAGAAAAAAAATCCCACTTAGGTATAGCATTTTCTAATATTACAGTGATTATACTAGATAATTATAGCTTGATAGTTAAAACAACATTCACTTTGTCCCTCTGATTCTTAAAATGGTTTTTAGTAAAAACATGCTGAAATTAAGATGACAGCAAGCATGCAGAAGAAAGGAAATCATTGAGCCGAGATAGTGATAAGTGGTTTTTTCCTAACAGAGTTTTATAACCAGAGGCTACCAATATGTCCAAGATTTTCAGAATACTATGGTTTGCCAATATCCTTGTAAGAACTGGAAATTTTAGAATCCTAGAATCACTGAATGGTTTGGGTTGGCTCTTTAAAGATCTTCTAGTTCCAGCCCCTGTGCTGTGGGCAGGGACATTTTCCAGTACATGAGATTGCTCATGTAGTGAAATAAGAGGAAGTAAGAGCTTTGCCTTTCTTCCACATACAATTTCCATGAAATAATTTAAAGGGAACAATTAGCATAAAATATGTTGCCTTTTATAACTAATATAACTATAGTGAAAGTGACTTCAAATTTGTACACTTGTTTGCTGTTCAATACCACAATGTTCAAATAAGACTAACTTAAAATCAAATATAAAACAGAAGAATCCTCGTAAGATGCCAAATACATGTAAATTTCAGCTTATTTTGGATAATAATGTAAACAGAAAGGAGGCATTGTCAAAGTCATATTTGGCAACTTTAATTATTGCTTGAACTATCATTATCTAACATATTGCTCTAAATTCCACAACAGGGCTACAGCAGATGATGACATCAACATGCTTGCCAAGCTAAATGATTGCCATCCAACCTATTTAGCCAAGGGGGCTGCTATGGCTGCTTTCTATTTGGCTAGATGCCTCCAGCTAGGCAGAGGCACAGAGAAAAACAAGCAGGCTGCTGAGAAGTACTATTCTAAAGTAAGTTGAGAAATGGGGAGATACCTTGGATCTGAGTCTAGTCTAAACTTGTTATTTCATTAAGGACTCCAACACTGTGTTAAAAAAATATTTGCAAGAACATGTAGACTGATAGAAATGTACTGAAAACTACTAAAAATAGCCTTAAAAGGATGCTATCTGCCCACTTGCTTAAGCAAGCAATATAACCAACAACAACAACAACAAATCTATGCAGCAAAGAGCTTGGTAAGTTGCAAGATAAATTAGCTAAACAATTTGAATAATTTTACCCCAAATTAATTTGCTTTCTGTCATTGTCGCACAACTGAAAAATTGTAACTACTCCTTATACTTTACAGCCTGTAACAATTACAACCTTTATTAAATTGGCCATAACTGGTTCTCATGCTTATTTTTATATTTACATTTTCCATGATAGCTGAGGATCTACTGCTTTATCTGTTCAATATATACAGGGAAAAAAAAATCAGTTAAATTTTTTCCAAAGTTCTAAATTTGGAGTAAGACTGATGGAAAATAAGCTTGAGGAAAAATAATAATAATGGCCTCTGGAAGATTAATCTGTTGAGTAATATCAGTGATGCCTAAAGGCATCAAGGCAAGGTAGCTTTACCAGCTGAAGAGAATGTAGCAAGTTGGCATCTGTGCTTTACAGACTCTGTGGTTTCTGTGCATGTAGTGGCCATTTGTTTCTGCACGTAGAATACTGTGGTGTCCATCTTGGTGCAATCTAAATGAATGGAGAGTTATGGAAATGAAAAATCAGCAAGCAAATTTTGCAGCTCTTTACTCAGGGAAGTCACTGATAGAGAAGGCTTAGCAGAGCAGGTGATCTGAATACAGACACTAGATATTTTGTTCTCTCACTGTAAAAATGCAATAGAGGATAGGATGAGCAGGCAATCAGGAAAGGAACATAAGCTGAGGTACTATGACCATTCCTAGTTAAGGCATTGAAGAAGTCCATCAGGATTAAATTGCTGCATGGCATTGCAGGAGTGTAGCCCTTCCCACTGTCTTCTAAAGTGTAGTAAAACTGCCACAGCTGAAAGGAGACCACAGCTTTCACTCATTATTCACCTGCTCTACACCTGAGACTGGTCTAGGAATGTCACTGATGTCTCAGTATAAAGAGGTGGTTCCTATGACTGGTGTCATGTGTCTCTAAATCAATAGCAGAAGAGAAGCAACATAAAATAAACAAGAAAACTCCCTGAAACAGTAACTTCAAAAGAGTTGTGGGGGTGTGCAGTTTTTTTTGTACCTGCAAAATTCTCATGTTAACTGTACAATTATACTTACCTGAAGTCATATTTGTTTTAATTGACTGCTCAGCTCTGGTTTTGGCCTACCATTCTTAGACCGAGTCAGTTTTTTAAGAGATGAGAAAGAGAACATGGGCATCCCTAAGGGTCCTGCAGTAGATGATGGATGTGAGTAAAACTCATCCAATCTGTAAGCAGACTTATTTTTCCGACTGTGGTGCTGCATCTGCCATGCCAACATACAGAATTTAAAAAAAATAAAGCCAAGACTAATACTACAGTCCAGTATGCTAATTTTTAAAACTAATTTTTTTTAATGTGGCATCAGAAAAAGGATTCAAATCCAAATATGTTAACTCTTCAATACTTTAGCAAGTTGACTCTCTCCCTTTTTTTTGACACTTAAAGATTTTTGTCATATTGATAGCATACAGTTTTATTGTAGCTATAAACTAGAACTCTGATATTCTTTGTTTTTAAAGGCATGCCATCTGGATCCTATTGTTGCTTCTCACCTTGAATTGGCAGCTAATCTTGGGAGAATTTAGTGTTTCTTTTAACTGTGACTGGTATATAAATATATTTCCTACAATAAACCATCATTAATCTCCAGCAATTATAGACTGTTCATCACTTACTGCTTGCTTTTCAACTTTCTATAAATTATTATTTAAAGCAATTGACTGATTCATTTTATCTAGAAGAGAAAGTAAAAAGCTCATGCTCTCTAACTCAGATAAGCTGAGACAGATTTTTAAAAAATAGTATTGAAGACTTAAAGGTTTATTAAGGACATTTCACGGGACAGATGTATTTTCTTCATGTCATATTGCTACAGAGCACATGAATCAAAACAAAGCAAAAGAAAGATGCTTGTTTCCTCTCTGCATATATAGTATTTAAATTTTAATATTCTGAAAAGCTTGAACCCAAAATTGTCTCATTTTCACACACAGGCCACAGCCATTTTTAATGTTATTGGTGCTTACACTTATGCTTTTAATGTAGTGGTGCTTATATTTTCTTCCACATACTTTCCAAAGCATCTAGATTTACTTAAAAGTCTTTATATATATTTCTTTTGGATTGCAGAGACTCAAAGTTGGAAACTGTCCAGCAGAACCCTAAGCTTTACAATTCAAACCATACCAGCTTCTAAAACTAATAAACACTACTTACAGAACTGTGGGAAAAAAGCCCCAAGCATTAGTATGGAAATATTGAATATACATCCCCAAGACAAGGCCTGTTTTTCTCAATTCTCCATATTGCATTCACATTGCCTCTGTATTAGAAATAGTTGGAAATCTCTTGGCTAGGAGTATTTATGTCTGAGCAATGTCAAGCTGGATCTTTTATTAAAAGACACTTTGATTAACCACTAGGAAAACTTACTGATTGCTGTGGTCAGCTTGCACATTTCTAAATGCCTGTTTACTTATGAAGCTTTGTAAGTGTAGAATTTGCCTTGCTTCCTAATACTGTGCCACAACTTGCAAACTCTTCTGAAACTGTTAGAACAGAAGGTTAGATGTTACTAAAAATGTTGATTTATATAGATTATGCAGATTGTATGTACCTTACAATACAGCCAGTCATAACTGCAAGTAGTTTTTCTAAAAGCACAACTGTACTGAATTGAGAAGACAGTAATGAGTGTCAGCTAGGGATTTTTGATGATGTTTAATTATTTAGATGTGCATTAACATCATATTTACATATTTTTACATAAATTTAAAAAAAAAAACAACCACTGAAGACAGTTTTCTTTCCTTGTATAAAATAAGAGAAAGATTTGAAGGTTATTTGAAATTGGGGCATTTGAATAAAACAGCCCTGAGTAATATCAGGGAAGTTATCAGAATAGTTTAATTAAATGTCTACTTGATCATTCATAGAAGCAATTCATAAGCACTAATCTTTGAACTAACATTGAACACAGGCATTCTGGTAGGACATACCAGTTTACAATACATAATTTTGACACAAACTTCAAAGCAATGTAGATACTTCTTATGAAACTAGTGCTGTCAAACCCATTGATCCGTTGTCAGTACAGCCTCATATCAAGTGCTGCAATCCAGTTGTGATATTTATTGCTTACAAATGCTTCAAACCACAGGAAATCTTTGGTAAAACCAAAATTGATAAAATTTTCACAATAGCTTTACATGTAGTATTGCACAACAAGGCTTTTTCAATACACAAGAAAAAAAAAGGAATGCTCAGATCCTCAGTGAGGAGATTAGAACTGTACAACATTCATTAGTTTACCACTATAAGCAAAATTTCTTTCCATAAATGTTTAAAATATCTTCTGGTTTCTTTCAGCATATATGAACATTTATTTTTTAATCTATATTTGAAACAGAGGAGTAGTCAAATAGAACAATTTAAATAAAAATTGGCAGCTATACAGCATTTTTTTGTCTACCCTACAACAGCATCAGATCTTTTCAAGTCTGTACTTCACAAAAAACTCAAGAGGAAAGAAAAATGCTAAAAATAATCATAGTCCTCAGCCCTCTATGGAAAAGAGGAAAATAAGTTTCATGTCTATTCTTGAACATAGACATTTCTCTAGTGGTCCAATTGTGCAGATTCAAACCTAAGTGGCATTAAGCTGCTCTAAATGAGCTCTCAGCTCAGGACACAGTTCAGTTAGCAGCAGTTCCAGCAAAACCTGAAAAACAGAAAAGAGTTCAAATGAAGCAGGTGCCAACCAAATTTCTCTTCCTTTCTGTCATTTTTAGATAACCATAAATAACAGAAGCACAGAGGTTTGATTACATTCATACTTTTCTTTCATCCAGAAGTTAGCACATGCCCTACAGATAACATGGGAAATGTCTTAAGGCTGAAGGGAGGCAAGTGTTGAGGGCAGCTCCATTCAGATGGGGATTTCCCACCCAGTATAAACTGGCGCTGTTGTGTCAAAGACTCCACAGCATCCTAAGCAAGCAGCAGGGCATGCACCTTTTCTCTCTGGTGCTGGGGCAGCATTGTGTGACAGGCTGCTGTCTGGAATGTGCCAGAAGAGACTGACTGACTGTGAAGGTGTCATACTTAGATCCAGCTGCATGTTCCAACTATTCCCAACAGCTGAGGAGTGGAACTTCTGGAAGGCTGTCATGTCCTAACTATGAACCAGTTCTGGAGTTCTTCTCTAGGATTCTCCAAGGTATGTTTGTTTTTCTAAGCTGTATGAAGAAATTAGTTTGTACCTTAGGAAGTCAGGCAAATTGTATGTGGTAGAAGATCTCTTTTAGACAAAAACAATGCTGCTGTTAAACAGCCTTTTGTTATTCAAACTTAGTCAAGTGATCAAACATAGAGCAACTGACTTATTTTAATAATAAATAAATCTCTGCAAAACCACATCCCCTAGGCTTCAATACTGAGTGAGTGGAGCTCAGTAACTTACAGGATTATGAAGTTAAAAAGGTACTTTTCTGGTTACTCACATAAAGTAGATGCTTATTAGCCTTTCTCTCTTGCAATGCATTGAACACTTTCACTACACCATGACGGGCATTTTGTTGTCCAACGAGATTCTGCAGAGTATCTGCAACAAACATTACTTCAGTTTATGTTGTTCCACTCATGCTAGGCAAAACCTCCAGCCAGGATCATCATTCTGCTACCCATAATCACAATCATAAAGGTTGGAAGAGACCTTCAAGATCATCTAGTTCAACCATAAAGACCCAAAAAGGAGGGGGAAAAAAGCCACTGCACTTCATTGGCCCTTGACTACAAGATACAGAGTCCCTACTCAACAATCTTTAAAAAACACAGCTTGAAAAGATACCCTTATTCTCCAGTTACCCACTACATAATAGTGTGTGCATCTCAGAACATTTTAAGTGTTCTAACATGATGCATCAAATGCCTTTTCAGTAGTTCACCTCACTGAGTCAAGTCTCATCTCACACATCATTAAACCTCTCACTTAAATACACCTTAAGCCAAAGACACAACTTCTACAGCATTTAAAATAAATTTAGCACTTTAATTGCCACTCAATTGTCACAGAATACTTCCCACAAGAAGGCAGTTAAGAGAGTCTAAGTCAATTATTTACACTTTGGATTAAATTAGAGAATAAATAGTGATTCAATGTTCCCTCATTAATCTAAGGTGCATTCGGCTATGTCTTGACATATGGCTCCAAGCTCAGAAACAAACTAGAAATCAAACAATACCACAAACCAACTATGGAAGGCTATTTAAGTAAGTAGATAACACAGGTGGTAAACTTAAGGGTTGTTTACACATCAAAAGACAAATATTTTCCATGCATACCTACTCCTTTTGTGCTGCAAAAGTTGATTAAACTGCCTAATGCATGGGGGCATATGCGATATCTAAGTGAAGGCATAAAATAGCTCATTCTCTTCACACAGAGCAGAGAAAAACATTCAAGCTATGTTGAAGTGCATTTCCAAGTGCTAACAGTAATGATTTTGACTCTTTTCAGTTAGGTGCCTTTGGGTTTACATGATCTCTGAAGTCAGAAATTTGTAACTGCATTTCCTGTCCTGTGAGTGGGACAGCATGGAGCATCTCAGAATAGTGCCCCAAAAACATTCTGGCTGAAAAAGCAGCTGCCCAGGCTTGGGAGATAAGGGCAGGTGAAGGAAAGTACTGATAAAACCACTCCATCTAGGAGCTTCTTCTGCCGGGGCTGCAGGTCACTCTAATGTTCAGTGTCCTGAGACCTCTTATCAGAAACAGACAACACACAACACTGATGGCATGCTTAGATCCCTCGCTCTCCAACTTCAAAATATAGGAGGAATTGGGGTGGTGCCACTGTCCCTGTTTGACAAGTAATTCCAAGTAGCAGAACCACAAATTTGCTCACAGAGAACCAGCAAAGAGAGACTCGACTGAGATTCCTTGATGAACATTATGCACAAAATAAAAGCAATTCTGATTTTGCATCCACCAGTAATATCTGAATCCAAGCCTTTTACCAGACAGGCAGAAGAGGCAAAGACTAAGACCAAAATAATCCTTGTTTATGCAAATAATTATAACTTAAAAGTCTACATGAAAATAATTTGATTAACCAGTTTCCTTACTAGTTATTAGCTCTGTGATTAAGCAGAATCAAAGTGAACTCACCTGGAATGTTTTCAAGTAGTTTTTGCTGTGCTCTCTGTTTTGTCTCCTGCTTTTGTTCATCGCTCTTGGCTCTCGGTGCTGGAGCTAACTTTCCATTTGGCCAGAAGGCATCTCGAAACACCCCAATGTAGTAAACAAGCATTGGCTCACTGAACATCCAGTGTACAGTGTCACGGATCTGCCTGTAAAGAAGTGGAGAAGGGAGCCCATCAGAGCTAGTCTCATGTTTTATCCATATTTATTCTTTTTACTCCTCAAAGCAGTGGAAGAGATGTTCTTTTTCACGTAATTTTGCCAGTATGCCTGAGTTGATTTCATTGGCATAACAGCAGGTCATATTCAGGTCTGGATGCTCTAGGATCTAGGTCACTCCTGATACATCACTTAGATCTGGAGAAGGCGGCTTTTCAAGGTAATCCACAAACATCCATTTCAAATTACAAGTACTACATTGAAATATACATCAAAACTACATTTCAAGGACAGGCACTGCAAATGCTCCACCAGTAAAAGTCAGGAAAATCAGATCACTAATAGTAGCAAATTCCAAACTAGTTGCCTGTGGAGATGTGCCTGCTAGGATAAAAACAGACAGTTTTGATAGAAGCACAGTAAGTTCCTTCACAGATAGCAAAGCACATTACTGAAGGGATTACAGACAGAGAGAGCAGCCTCTTCCTGGGGCTGCACCCCTCAGTGAAGCCTTCAGCACCAGGAGTCTAAGGCAGAGCAGGCTCCAGTCAGTGCTGTTGCCATACAGCCAAATCCCTTAAAATCAATAAAGTCAACCTACATGTAAAAGCTACACAGGAACTTTGCATGCAAGCTATGCTCAGAAATTCTCTGCCTCTCTGTCCTCCTTCAGGCATTTTCCAGTTATCAGCAGGGTATGAACAAATGAACCAATCAATTTAAAACTCAGTGAGTGGATACTGTCTGAGACCATTCCAATTTACTGCTACGTAATACACATCAGAGGCTTTAAAAGCCATGCTGGCAAGTGCAAATTTAGTCACTGATTGGACAAAGAACAGCCTGCTGTGCTGATAGAATACTTCTAAAATTTGTTTCTGACCAGAGATACAGCTTTCCATATGACGGTGTTTACAGACAGGTATGCTCATAGCCTCAGGCAGGCCTCACCTGGAAACATAAAGATAATTCACATATCTGTGTTTTCTCTAATAAATATAACATAGCTGTAAATTGAGCTATAGAAAACAAATGCAGATTACCATATCCAACAGGATGTTCAGATTATTTTAACAGTTCTTCTGTCAGCCTTTTTTTAACAGAATGATGATAAAAGTTCAGTTAAAGCAACAGCTACTTACTTGTTGATGGTTCTTCCAAAAGTGACTTGTACTAGTGCAATTAATGTTTTTCTGACCCACTTGAACACTAGAACAACAAAAAATGATTAAAAATAATGACCAAGAAGTTAATAACATTACAGAACCCATGACCATGTACAAAAACTTCCCCCTACGTCCAACCAAACCAAACCCAAACAATCCACCCCTACAGTAAACACATTGTTATAACCCTTTCTAAGATCCCATTAATTGTACAGAGATTTCACTTTTCTTGATCACATTCCTTGTACTGTTTGCTGTATGGTTTTTAAGTCCTGCAGATTATATAACCATGTATATAAAATGCATTCTAGGTTATACCGTAAATTTTTATATATAGGAATATTTCAAGTTTATTGAGCAATACAACTACTCAAAACCCTTTTTCTACTAAAAAAAACCCCCAAATATTATTTTCAAACTTCCCACCTTTTTCATAACTTTTAGTATAAAGTACACACAGCACCACCATTAAAATTCTGAAAACATTTTCACTCAAACCAAGCAGTCAGCTTTCCATTACAAATAAATGAAACAAAAGTGAGTGCTTCCTAGTAATTACTGGCAAACCTTCCTTTCCTACTGTTCAACATCACAATAAAGTCTATATTTGGGAGATATATCTACCATTTTTGGAAGGTGACACATTTTGCAATAGTTACCCTGTAAATAATTTTATAGAGCATCATGTGTGGCTGCACATTGAAACAGAAACAAAAATAACTTTATTATGATCATTCAGTTACATAAAGGGGGGGAAAATCCAGTATTTAAATATATCACAATTCTAGTATAATTTTCCTCATAGAAGTTGCAGAACTAAAATGCATATATAATTTACTTTAAATTGATATTAAAATTATATTTCTTTGTCAGAGACATGTTCTATAACAAAGTCATCTTTCCTTACTCAAGAATTCCTACAATCTAATGAACAGCCTGTTTACAAAGAGAATACTACTGTCCTTTTTTTCTAATCTTTTCATGAAAAATTTAATAATATTAAGTGTAAATGCTCTCCCCTACCAGTTACATTTTTATTGCCATTTTATGTTCTAATTTCACTTTTGAATGAAAGCTCCAAAGTTATGAACTACTGAAGAATAGCTTGGTCCCAAACTGGCCATATAGATTAAAGAATGAAGATTAGGTGCAATATAGATTGCACTTATTGAAACACCAAAAAAATTGAATTCTGAAGTGCCCTCCAGAGCCAAGAGATTGCATTAGCAACTGAGCAGGTTTACATCTTACTTCCTCGCAGTTCAAAAATCTCTCCAATCAGCATGAAACATGGCTCAGCAAGAGAGTCCTTCTTCCCATCCACCTCCTCTCCGTAGTCTGACAGGTCACTGTCCTCTTCTGTTTCTTCCTGGGAAGAGAGGGACAACATGGGTGTGTGCTGCAGTTCCCCAGCCTTCTTCCAGAATGCATTTAGTTACTGCCATGCTCTGCAGAAGGAGCACAGGCAGTCCTCTCAAAAAACAGAGCCAAAAACTGCTGCTGGCAGGATCTGGCCAAGAGGAATCTCACTAGGGATCCTGAAAACTTCCCATTGGACTAAAGTGATGAGGACACTGCACTGCTGGAATTAGCATCACTGCTGTATCTTCTGCTTGCAGCCTTGCCCCAGTAAGCACCTCAGTGCTGCCTCTATTGCCCCATCAACACCGGCTGGATGAAAGAAAGCAGGTGATGTGGGAGTCCTGTACTGCTGGGAAACAGGTGACAGCTGTAAGCAGGAGACGGCACTCAGCAGTGTTTGCGATTGCAAAGCTCCCTCTGACACAACACCCATAAAAAACATTCAGGATGGGGAGCTGGACAGCTGGAGCTCTTTGCCACGCAAACAGCTGGGAAGAAAGGGGGAAAATCTGGTTATTGCACCAGGAAAAGCAGGTAGCTGGTTCCCCAGGAGACCAGACAGTGCCTTCACAGCTGAAGCCCCTCAGTGGGATTAGGCCCTAACCAGTTGTCCTTGAAGTAAGCTGGGAGCCAAAGCCAGCAGTGGAAAGGGAACTAGCCAGAAACACAAATTGTGATAGTTAGTGACCTGAGCCTGAGGATACCCCAGCTCAGGGCACCAAAGGGAGAAGAGCTATTCAGATAGACTCCCAGAAGATGACTGGGTTGAACCACCTCCATTCTGGCAGTACCATCTATTTCAGAGTGAAGGGCACACAGCAGGTTGTTTCTCACTATCATGAAGATTGCTTCAGGATCAGGATTACAACTCCTGTCACTACTCATGGCAGCCAACACATCCCTTTGCTTTCCTGGATCTTGCCCTGCCTGCCTTTGCTTCCAGCAAAGCTAAAGACAGGCAGACCTGACCTCCACTGAGGCTGGTCTGATGCCCCAGTCTCTGGATCAGAAATGGTCACAATGATGTGCAAATTTCCTTCTTCAGCCTGGTTTTCAAAGATATCAATCATCTCTTCCTTTCTTCCTTATCATTCAATCATCTATAATTGGTTTATTTTTCTGCTATTCAGTGAATCTCCTGTCATTTAGAAAATGCAACAAGAACTGTAAGTTCTTACACTACAGTGCATTTTCTATCTAGTAGATTTATAAACCTAAAAGCCCTTCTTCTTTCTAGATGATATCAACTGCATTTTTGCTCTGATTTGGTTTTGGTCTAGAGAGCTAAAAAATACATTCTAAAGCTAACCCTGTCCAAGGAGTTATATATATAAAGAAATTGCTGCAGTATCTAATCCTGAACACAACACTCAAGAGGTAATATTATTGCTCTGACATATATTTGAAAAATGTGAGATGAGATTAAGGGCAAAGAGAGCTGAATCTGAGAGCATTCTATACTACAAAGTTCAAAACACAAACTAAACCAGGAAGTCTCAGTTACAAAAAGAACACAATTATACCAGCTTTATGTGTGGTTTAAACAAAATCAACTTCATTTATGACCTTGTACCAAATGATTTAAGCCCAGTTTAACTGCTTTAGGAAAGTGTCCAAGATGCTATCAGTGGGGCAAGACTGAGCTGATCCAAGGCTCTTTCTGAAAGACATGGGAGTCCAGGAAACAGCAGAGCTAGTCCCAGACTGCTTCCCAGTCTGTCTTCCTCCATTTTATTTTATTACTTTCACTTTAGGGCAATTGTTTGACATACTCATTCATAGGGTCTAAGAGTTCCCACCATCTGTATTCTGTTATGTGTAAGCTTAAGGAAAGAAGGGAGAAGAGAGAGAAGAGAAATGTGAAGCAGTAACAGTTGCATAATTTCTGCTTTGTTTATTTGTTCCTTCTCCTCTCACACACTGGTATTAAAAATCCTTTTTCCTTCTCCTGTATTTCCCAACTTTTTCCTCCTACACACTCCCATAATACAATATCTATCTCCCATAATACAATGTCTTGAGGATGTTTTTCAATTAAATAGCAAAATAGAAATAGCTTCATACTTCAATACTTTTATGCTACTTCTACCTATCATTAGTCATTTTAGTGAAAGCACTTTGGATTGTGTAACTCCAGTACTTCTATCAAAGTAAAACTAGTTTCTCAAACTTCCTTTATATTTATTACTCTGAAACGAGGCACATGCATTCAGCATCTAGATGCAAACACAGCACTCTTTTGCAAGGTACATATATAGGATTTTCTTATTTCTGAGATGCAAGACCACCTTTCTCCCTATAAAAGCCTAGAAGTATACATGCTCCCCAATCTCAAATTGTCCTGCATAAGACCCATCCGCTCCAGACAACTACAGCATGTCAGAAATTAACTGCTTTAAATGAATTTTGTATAACATGTAACTAAAAAAAGGGAATATAAACATCTCCTTGAATGTTGCATTATCTGAACATGAACAACACAGAACAGAGTGCCATGGAATTATGGTCAATTTAGTCAATGAGCTATTTTGGTCACTAATCTATTATTCATTGGATTTTGATAAACTATGGGTTTTTATGGCTTAATAACAAATTCTCCATCTGGTTTGCCTACATAGACTCCTGCCTGCACTTGCAAATTCCCTCAGTAAGCCTGTACTATTTGCCAACAGTTTTTTGTCAAAACTAGCTCTGCTTATGAAGTTGTCCTGAAATTAGGGATACACAGATGTTCTTTCTTGCCAAGAGAATATTCCCAAGTGTATTTTTACCTGCCAAAACCTCTCTGAAATACGCATGCCCAGAACTCAAAAAGTGGAAAATTCTGCTGTAAAAAAATAAATCCCAATCCCACAATGAACAATCCCACATGAACTGCAATTTGTTTATTTGTGATAGTTTACACATTTGCCTATATGCATGTACCAAAAGGCAGGAAACCTGTTTTATTAATAAACATCTTTTAAATTCATAGGCGGCTCTTTCTTCTCTTTGTTCACTTACAGTAAATTACAAATGACCTTTGGAAATATTGCCTGCCACTCAAATACTAATGACTCTCGCTGCTTACTTAGGATAAGTAATTAAATTTGGGAAGATTACTTTTCTACCACTTACCTCCTGATGAGAAAACAAATCACCAGGAAGTCGTTCTAGAAATGAGGAGAGTGAAAACGATGACTTCTTGCCTTGCACATCAATAACTTTGAGGTGCTCTGGGGAGGGGCTCAGGAAGGCATAAAGTGCTTCACTCTGGCAGAGTCTTTCATCAGAGAGTAATTTCTATGAAACAAAAATAATGACACATCACAACACAGCAACACATCAATTAAATATTTCTTGTTAAGGAATAAGATGTATTGAGGCATCCAATAAAACTGATTAAATTGCAGCTCAGAGGTAGTGTGAGAAAAAAAATCCCTATCTCACAAAGATACTTTAAGAAACTATTTCTAAAGTACTGGAACTAGTAAGAATAAAGCTTTTAGTCTTACAACCTTCTTGTTTTGTAACAATTTCTCACGTGTAAGAAATTTGTTGTGAATGAAGGAGTTTTAGCTGAAAGTGGCAATTAAAGGCCACTTTAATTATGATTCTTCAATTAATTGAAGTTTAAATTAACTTACTACTAGAGGAATGGTTACTATCAGTCAAACTCATCTCAACTTTGACATTTATAGTGTCAAATTTTACATTTGACCTATTTGTTCTAGGCTCTTTCTTTAGGCAATAGAGAGGCAGCAGCCTCTCAAATCTCCTGTTTAGATATCTGTCGGTTTTGTCTTTATTTTCTTACCTGCAGAAAGTTATTAAGCTGGTTCTTGGATTTCTCCATGAATTTCTGGTCTACGGATTTGAAGGGCAGCTTGCTGAGAGAAGGCAACTGAACTTTCTTTAACGATGGAAAACACTGTGTAGGAGAAAGGAGAGCTCAGTTAAGGTGTATGCAGAGAAAAAGACAGGTGGTTCAGAATGGAAATGAAGAGACTCCTTTTTGCTCTCATCTCACTTCCAGACCCCTCTCAAGAAAACACCTTCCCTTTACCACTATGGGCTGACACATCTGAACCCTTCCCCTTTACAGCACCATTATCTATTCCTTATCAGACAGAAAGGTTAAAGCACTGTGAAAAAAATCCCAACCTTCTCTCTCCCCAAAAGCTGTCATTTCTAATACTTGCCTAGAAGCCAGACATAAAACTTCACTCTTTTGCAGGCTCTTGTATGACAGTGCAGAGCATATCCCATTTTGAAATGGGGTTAGTCCAGTTAAACATTATTAAGTGGAAAAAATTATAAACAAGTTTTATAATCATATGTCAGAGACCAGAAATGTGCAGATAGAAATCTAGTTCTAAAGTGCTAAAAGCCAAAAGGCTGGCATTAAAACTGGAAGCATTAAATTGTCATCATTCTGACAAATTTTGTCAGTTTGTATCTTTTCCCTCCCCTAACCAGGATTCATACCTCGCTGAGTTTGCGGTGTAGGTTCTGAAACTCATTGAGCTTCCTGGGAACAGTCCAGTTCTTAGTTTCAGCTCCACCAACTTCTTGTAAACTCACCATGACAGAGTAACAGGGCACTTGTTCTCCATTCTCTTCTAAAACCTTGTGGGGGAAATAAAAACAGATAAGGTAATATCTGAAAGTAAACGGTGGAACATTTAACTGTGAACACAGGAACATCTGAACAGTGAACAGGTGACTGGCTTACAAACTCAGTCATCAGTTCTACACTTCTGCTAAGATTTGAAGGCTCCATATGGAGCAATTCCCTTAATGAAGTAACCATCCCCCAAAGTGCTGTACCAGCCCTGAACCAGCCCTGCAGCTAACCACTATTACACCTTACCTACAGTTTGCAATGCAGCCACATCTCCCTGACATATCCTCTTCAAACAGCTGAGTGTATTATTTTGGTTTTTAAGGTACCTACCCTGTAGCTTTGTGATTGCTGATCAATGCTCCATCTCTCCTATCTGCATTTACCTGAGTGTTCTTCCTTCATTTCCCTCCCTCCCAGTGCTTCTGCTGAGGGTCACCCAGACACCAGGCACAGCAGCTCTGCAGCTGGGTCTAGCAGCAGCTGCTGCTGTTATGGAGTGATTTCTCTGCTCACTTGAGCTGTTCTCCTTGCACAGTTTGTGGTATCCATGCACTATTTCTGAGGAACTCAGAATTTTACAAAAATACTGATAAATCCAAATACAGTCCTCAGCCAGAAGAAGGAGAAGCAATTAACCATATTGTGCAAATGGGAAAACTACAGCAAAGTTAAACAATTTTTCTTGAGATGACAGCAGCAGTGTGACCACACTGTTTCTTAATTTGATATAAGAATTGGCATAAGAATTTCATTCTTATGTCCTATTGGTAGCAAATTTTTTACTTATTTTGAGGAGACACCCAGATTGATTATGAAAAACAAATAACAGAAATGCATAAAATATTTCACTCTACAATGCTTGTGTCTTTATATACATGCAAATAATGACAAGGTAATTATAAAATACCACTCCCAGTCTTTTTGAGCAAAGTTATAACCTTAAAGCTTTAAAAAAAAGAGTATTTAACAAATCTAATTAGAATAAGAATAAATGTTAAAATTCATATAATTATGACACCTTTTCTGAGAAGCCTGTAGAGACAACACAATGCTGTGGATGAATAATTTGACAAGCACCTACATCACCCTTGTAAAAGCCATGTGGCTGAAATGTAC